CTAACGACTAATTTTATTTCTGTTCAATATAAGATCATTCTACCGACTCAGAGCGGACAAAACTAATCACTGAAATAAGGCCGGGTGGGTGGGCGGGGCTAATTATATTCTTCTGTTGTGTAGGAGTGGAAAAAGGATATGAAAAAGTGCCAAAATCACTCTTATCTTATCAAATAGTAGCCCCGCCCACCCACCCTCTGTTTTCTTGGAAGCTATGTGATTTGCCAAAATCAGTCTTATCTTAGCAAGTACTACCCCCCCCCTCCTCTTCTCATTCTAGCAACTAATTTTATTTCTTTTCAGTATAAGATCATTATTCATTCAGACTGGATAAAAACAATCACTAAAATAGAGACAGGGTGGGTGGGCGGGGCTAATTAGGTTCTTCTCAATAATGTCAAAAGTGCTAAAATCAATCTTATCATAGCAAATACAAGCCCCACCCACCTACCCTCTACTTTCTTGTAGGATATGTCATTTGCCAAAATCTGTCTTATCTTAGCAAATACAAGCCCCACCCAGCCAGCCCCTCTTCTCATTCTAACGACTAAATTTATTTCTGTTCAATATAAGATCATTCTACCGATTCAGAGCGGATAAAACCAATCACTGAAATGGGGCTGGGTGGGTGGGCGGGGCTAATTATGTTCTTCTGTTGTGTAGGAGTGGAAAAAGGATAGGAAAAAGTGCCAAAAACAGTCTTAGTTATCAAGTACTACCCCCACCCACCCCCCGCTTCTCATTCTAACAACTAATTTTATTTCTTTTCAGTATAAGATCATTCAATTCATTCAGACCGGATAAAAACAATCACTAAAATAGAGACAGAGTGGGTGGGCGGGGCTAATTATGTTCTTCTCAATCATCAACAATTATAATTGTTGATCATTACTCAATAATGTCAAAAGTGCTAAAATCAATCTTATCTTAGCAAATACGAGCCCCGCCCACCCACCGTATATTTTCTTGTAGGATATGTCATTTGCCAAAATCTGTCTTATCTTAGCAAATATTAGCCAAACCCACCTACCCCCTCTTCTCATTCTAACGACTAATTTTATTTCTCTTCAATATAAGATCATTCTACCGACTCAGAGCGGATAAAACCAATCACTGAAATGGGGCCGGGTGGGTGGGCGGGGCTAATTATGTTCTTCTGTTGTGTAGGAGTGGAAAAAGGAATGAAAATGTGCCAAAATCAGTCTTATCTTAGCAAGTACTACCCCCACCCACCCCCCGCTTCTCATTCTAACAACTAATTTTATTTCTTTTCAGTATAAGATCATTCAATTCATTCAGACCGGATAAAAACAATCACTAAAATAGAGACAGAGTGGGTGGGCGGGGCTAATTATGTTCTTCTCAATCATCAACAATTATAATTGTTGATCATTACTCAATAATGTCAAAAGTGCTAAAATCAATCTTATCTTAGCAAATACGAGCCCCGCCCACCCACCGTATATTTTCTTGTAGGATATGTCATTTGCCAAAATCTGTCTTATCTTAGCAAATATTAGCCAAACCCACCTACCCCCTCTTCTCATTCTAACGACTAATTTTATTTCTCTTCAATATAAGATCATTCTACCGACTCAGAGCGGATAAAACCAATCACTGAAATGGGGCCGGGTGGGTGGGCGGGGCTAATTATGTTCTTCTGTTGTGTAGGAGTGGAAAAAGGAATGAAAATGTGCCAAAATCAGTCTTATCTTAGCAAGTACTAGCCCCACCCACCCCCTTCTTCTCATTTTAACGACTAATTTTATTTCTTTTTAGTATAAGATTATTCAATTCATTCAGACTGGACAAAAACAATAATTAAAATAGAGACGGGGTGGGTGGGCGGGGCTAATTATGTTCTTCTCAATCATTAACAATTATAATTATGTCAAAGGTGCTAAAATCAATCTTATATTAGCAAATACAAGCCCCGCCCACCCACCCTCTATTTTCTTGTAAGATATGTCATTTGCCAAAATTTGTTTTATCTTAGCAAATATTAGCCCCAGCCACCCACCCCCTCTTCTCATTCTAACGACTAGTTTTATTTCTGTTCAATATAAGATCATTCTACCGACTCAGAGCGGATAAAACCAACCAATGAAATGGGGTCGGGTGGCTGGGCGGGGCTAATTATCTTCTTCTGTTGTGTAGGAGTGGAGAAAGGATAGGAAAAAGTGCCAAAATCAGTCTTATCTTATCAAATAGTAGCCCCGCCCACCCACCCTCTGTTTTCTTGGAAGCTATGTGATTTGCCAAAATCAGTCTTATCTTAGTAAGTACTAGCCCCACCCACCCCCCTCTTCTCATTCTAACGACTAATTTTATTTCTTTTCAGTATAAGATCATTCATTTCATTCAGACCGGATAAAAACAATCACTAAAATAGAGACAGGGTGGGTGGGCGGGGCTAATTATGTCCTTCTCAATCATCAATAATTATAATTGTTGATGATTACTCAATAATGTCAAAAGTGCTAAAATCAATCTTATCTTAGCAAATACAAGCCCCGCCCACCCACCGTCTATTTTCTTGTAGGATATGTCATTTGCCAAAATCTGTCTTATCTTAGCAAATATTAGCACCACCCACCCACCCCGCCTTCTCATTCTAACGACTAATTTTATTTCTCTTCAATATAAGATCATTCTACCGATTCAGAGCGAATAAAACCAATCACCGAAATGGGGTCGGGTGGGTGAGCGGGGCTAATTATGTTCTTCTGTTGTGTAGGAGTGGAAAAAGGATAAGAAAAAGTGCCAAAATCAGTCTTATCTTATCAAATAATAGCCCCGGCCACCCACCCTCTGTTTTCTTCGAAGCTATGTGATTTTGCCAAAATCAGTCTTATCTTAGCAAGTACTAGCCCCACCCACCCCCCTCTTCTCATTTTAACAACTATTTTTTTTTTTTCGTATAAGATTATTCAATTCATTCAGACTGGATAAAACAATCATTAAAATAGAGACAGAGTGGGTGGACGGGGCTAATTATGTTCTTCTCAATCATCAACAATTATAATTGTTGATGATTACTCAATAATGTCAAAAGTGCTAAAATCAATCTTATCTTAGCAAATACAAGCCCCGCCCACCCACCCTCTGTTTTCTTGGAAGCTATGTGATTTGCCAAAATCAGTCTTATCTTAGCAAGTCCTAACCCTACCCACCCCCCTCTTCTCATTCTAAGGACTAATTTTATTTCTTTTCAGTATAAGATCATTCAGTTCATTCAGACCGGATAAAAACAATCACTAAAATAGAGACAGGGTGGGTGGGCGGGGCTAATTATGTTCTTCTGTTGAGTGGGAGTCGAAAAAGGATGTGAAAAAAGTAAAAAAAGCGCCAATCGTAACTTTTTTTGTTATACTATTTGCTATAAAATTTATTTCATGCATCTGACCTGACTTTACCTAACGTGACCTGACTTGTTCTGGCTTTTCTATTGTCTCAAATAAACAAATTATAAACCTTTCTGTGAATCTACAAGAAAATGTCTTCAACTAATTTTCGAAAATAACATTTTTGCAAAAATGAAGACAACTATAGCAACCACCTCATCTGTCTTTAAATGCTTAGTTCCAAGAATCATTAACTGCTAGTTTCTATAGAAATTAGTGTTTTAAAAAGGTCAGAATTTTTTAGACTGATTAATAATAATTACATTAGAAATTTAAAAGCTCCTTTGCTCAATAGTACGTGAAAGTTAGTTAATGATTTTTCGCAGAGATGTGACGACATATAAGTTATGTAGGTTATTATGGAGTTAAGAAAGTCATTTTAAATTATCAAAATGGAATAAAAAAAATTAACGAAATCTGATTAGTTAGTTAGTACAACGGCTAAGTACATGAGCACGGGAATAAAAGCAGAGTGCCAATGAATCCTCAGTGGCGGCTTGTCAGGTGAGGCAGGTGAGGCAGGGCCTCACCATACATAATCATAAAAAATGTTTTTCTTTCACACTATTTTTTTGTATGTACGGGGTAATTTAAAATTAGCGCGACAATTGAACTTTCTATGCCAACCACAAAATAAAGGCTCAGCGTTATTCTAACCAATCATGTATTATCATGCGTTTAGGCCGGCCTCACGGTTTGATTAAAATGTGGGACTAGGAGGCTCGTAATATTACCGCTACCGCTTATTGCCACTTACTATGGGAATCAAATGCTTTAGGACAGATAGTGTTGAGGCCGGGCGCAGCTCTTATCTGATTGGTTCTCTTTCTTAGCTCAGTCCATAGCATAGGTCAACATGCACGTGCGTTTTGAATTTCGCAGTGGCTTGGTGAGAGTACAACTGTGAATAAACTTTTCTGTTGTTTTTGTTGTTTATTCTCGAATAGTGGAGAATCGGTTTGGTGGAAAACTGGATATGGATTTTTAAAAAATTTGTCGCGTTCCTTGGAACAACATTCCAAAAGTAAAGATCACATATCATCTACATATTTGCAAGTTTGTTCTTCTCAGCGAACAGAATATTGCCAGTACTCTAAATTCTGCTCGCAAAATTGAAATAGAAAATTTTAATGCCAAAGTTTGCGAAAATAGGGAAATTATTAAAAGGTTAATTGATGTTGCTATATTTTTATGCACACAAGAGCTTCCCTTGATTATGTGGTGCATTTTTGTTAATATTTTTTTATGTTCAAATTTCCTGTGATCGAAAAACGTCGAATTCGTGATTCAATAAATTTTCATCTAGTATTGATGTATAAAACCTACTTACAATTCCAAATTTCTTAAGTAAGTCGCCAAGTGTGGGCAAAATGGAAGTGGAAATTTTTTGAATCGTGATTTGTAAAATGTTCAGGTATCACTTTCAACTGACAGAGTAGAGTAATTTACAGATATAAAAAAAATTATATGTATTTAACTATTTTTACGTCATAAGGTGTGGCCTCACCAAAATTTTAGGTCACGAGCCGCCACTGGTTATCCTACTCTAAAATAAACGAAGTGCAGCCCGTAACTCAACCGAATTGCCATCCCCCACGAGCCGTACCGAGTTTAGTCTTCCTCGAGCCGACGGATATCCTCTGCCTCTTCCAAATTACAATTAATAGAACCGAACACTGGTAGAGAGTGTGCTGCACGAGCGTTACAAAAATGTTTAAACTACTAGTTATAGTCTTTGCAATCTCTATAAACAATGTTTACACAGGAAACACGAGTGGTAAGTTAACTTAAATTAAATCAAACTATGCCTTCATTCACTTGGTTTTCTTTTTCTAAGTTGAAAAGCAAAGACAATACAGACAGTGTTCCTTTTTTGTTTTCTTGAAATTAGTTTCATTGCAGGAAAACCCTGCACCATCAAGTCGTCCCACTCTCCAGGAGTATGCAAACTATTGACAGAATGTAAGACGATTCTAGACGAAGAAATGTCTGATCACAGTGCACCCCAGTGCGGCAGAACCCAATCCGTAGTTTGTTGTCCAAAATCTCGTCGACCGGGAGATATCAGCGCACGAAGTATGTAAAAAAGCTAATTTTGTGTACGTGCAAAACAAACCAAAATCAAATTTCGTTTTAGAATGTAGAGAATACTCTTCGTATACACAAGAGAAACAATTGTGTGGACACACAGTTGTCCCGCTCATTGTTGGAGAACAACGAGCTGAGGGAAAGGAGTTTCCGCACGTGGCGGTGTTGGGATATGCGTACGGATTTTTGGAGAAACTTGAGTGGAAGTGTGGAGGAATACTTATCAGTGAAGATTATATTTTGACAGCTGCACATTGTTTGTTTACACCTTTCCAGTAAGTTTGAAAATAATTAATTAATAAATGAAGTATTAATTTTTAATTTCTATAAAAAATTTACAAAATCCAAGTGGTATTTTGACTATTTAATTTGTGTCTTTCTATTTCAGTGTAGTAAAGTCAGTGTTGTTAGGGGTCGTAGATCTCAAGGACACTACCCACGCAAAAGAAATAAACATAGCACGTATAGTGAAACATCCAGAATTCAGAAATGATTCCCGTTACAACGACATAGCACTTTTGAAACTGGAGAGACCAGTAGAGATAAATTCTTATGTTCGTCCGGCTTGTCTCCAAAAACACTTTAGCATTTATTTGTCGCAAGTTATTACTACTGGATGGACACGGTTTCGAGCAACCGACGACGAAGGTGTGTTTAAAATAACACAATATATTGAAGACTTTCAAACGTGTAATAATGTCACAAGCCGGAAAAGTCTACCTGAAGGAGTTGTAAATGATATACAACTTTGCACAAACGACGCGATTGGAAATTTGGCCGCTTGTCAGGTCAGTTAAAAATGAATAATTATAATCAGTGCGTCTGTGGGGAATGAGAGAGTAACGCTAGTGATGTATGAAAGAAGGACGAAGGGAATTAAAACTTTGTACTTTGTTATCTCTAGTTTGACAAAAATATGTCTGACTTTTCAGAGAGATGCTCTTGGTATAGTGCAAATATATCGGAGTGACGACACTACATCTTGCATGTATGATATAGTGGGCTTAACGTCGTTTGGATTGGAATGTTCTTCGACTCCCACTGTAAGTGCTCGAATTTCGCACTACATTAAGTGGATTGAAGATATAGTTTGGCCAGAAGATGCATAATAAAATTAGTGATTTTGACTGTGACGATAGACCAATAATAGTATTTGTTCGTAACACGATCTAGTTTATCATATGTATGTAACAGATGTACACTAATAAATATATGTGGAGCAGGCATTGGAATTATTATTTGCCATTTGTTTATGACAGGGTAACTATTGTCCGAGTAGACAACAATTTAAACAATTGCATTTTCACCGCTTGCTCCAAAAAAATTTCTTATTGTACACGATTTTCCAAACTCAAAGTTAAGAGCTCATATTTTGGTCGGGAAGGCCGCAAACGACAAGTACCTCTTAGGAACCATTTAATACTATGGTCGGTACCGATATCACCCTGTAGAATTAGAGCTAGTCGAGTCGACCGGTGTAAATTAAATGTATCAAACGCATTCGTTGTGTTATGGAATAAATGATTTAGAAATTGCAGAACCTCGTTGATCCCTACCTGTGTTATATTGTTTAAGGGTATTGCCTGAGAGTAATCAGTAAGAGAGGAGTATTACAGGTTCTCCTTCCATTAATTCCGTAAAGTTGGTACCAAGGTTATACTACCACAATACCTTCAGCTTTAAGCGTAAAATCTGTGGTTTGGCCACGATATGATGCGAAGAGGTATTATATCACAATTTGTCCTTTTTCATTTTTTCATTTCATTTATTTTTTCAATTTTCCTTGGATTTTATAATTATTCATTTATTCCGTTTTTCAAATTTTTCAATTTTGCAATTTTTGCATTTCTCAATCGACAATATTTCGTTTTTTCGATTTTTAGGGTTCTCAATTTTTAATCTTTGGATTTTTCAATTTTTCAAGTTCTTGATTTCCAATTTTTTAATTTTTCAAAGTTTTCATTTTATACCTTCTCGTTTTTTCATTTTTGATTTCTCTATTAAGAATTTTTTTGAATCTAAATGTTCCAAGGCTAAAAATTGAAAAACTCTTAATAACAGAAAAAAATTAATGAATCGAAGAAACTGTAAAATCGAAAAAAAATGGAATCGTCAAAATTATAAAGTCGAAAAACTGTAACATTGAAAACTGAAAAATTAAAAATCGAAAAATTGAAAAATCGTAAAATTTAAAAAGTGAACATTTTTAAAAATTGTTGTTGTCTTCAATGGATAATTTGAACAAATGAAAGATTAAAAATAAAAAATTGAAAGCTCAAAGAATTGAAAAAGTTTAGAAATTTTTCATTTACCCGATTTTTTAGGTTTCATTTTCTCGATTTTATATTACAATTTTTCGGTTTCTGCTTTTCAATTTCTTTAATTTTTCTTATATTTTTTTAGTTTATAATTTTTCGTTTATTCAAGTTTTCAAATTTTTAATCTTTGATTTTTCGATTTCCCTATTTTCGAAGTACCTACTAAGTTTTTCGATTTTGCATTTTTTCGATTTTTACGGTTCTTGATTTCCAATTTTTAGATTTTTGAAACTTTTCATTTTATACTTTCTCGTTTTTTCATTTTTGATTTTTCTATTTTACAGTTTAGCAATTTTTTTATTTTTATGATTCAAAAAATTGTAAAAACGGAAAATTCAAAAAATTGAAAAATTAAGAATCTCAAAACTTAAAATTGGTAAAATTAAAACGAAAAACGGATAATTAAAATGTCTAAAAATTGAAAAATTGAAAAACGAAGAAATGCAAATCGAAAGATTGAAAATCCAAAAATTGAAAAATTTCACATTGAAAAAAGAAAAGTTATAAAATTAGAACATTGCAAGACCGAAAAATTTAAAACAAATAAAGAAAACGAAAAGTTGCAAATCAAAAATTTGAAGAAATGAAAAATTGAAGAATCGGAAGGTTGCAAAAACAAAAATCTTTTATTCTTTGAATTTTTTAATTTTTCAAGTTCTTGATCTCTAATTTTTAGATTATTCAAAATTTTCATTTTTACTTTCTCGTTTTTTCATTCTTAATATTGTTATTTTACAGTTTAGCAATGTTTCTATTGTTTTGATTCGAAAAGTTGAAAAATTGAAAAAATTAAGCATCTCAAATCTTAACGGAAAATTAAAACATGTAACAACTGGGAAACTGAAAAATCCAAAAACTGAAATCTTTCACACTGAAAAAAGAAAAATTAGACAATCAGAATATTGCAAAAGCGAAAAATTGAAAAAAATATAGAATATAACAAATTGAAACGAAAAATTGCAAATCGAAAATTTGAAGAAATGAAAAATTGAAGAATCGAAAGATTGAAAAACTAAACATCGAAAAATTGAAAACTGCAATAAATGAAAAAGTTTGAAAACTTTTCATAGTCCCGATTTTTATATTTTTATTTTTACGATATTATATCACACTTTTTCCTTTTCCATTTTTTCATTTCATTTATTTTTTCAATTTTTCTGGGATTTTTTAATTATTCATTTATTCCGTTTTTCAAATTTTCAATCTTCGATTTTCGATTTCCCTATTTTCCAAGTTTCAAATTTTTCAATTTTGCAATTTTTGCATTTCTCAATCGACAATATTTCGTTTTTTCGATATTTAGGGTTCTCAATTTTTAATCTTTGGATTTTTAAATTTTTCAAGTTCTTGATTTCCAATTTTTGATTTTTCTATTATGAATTTTTTTGAATCGAAATGTTCAAAGGCTAAAAATTGAAAAACTCTTAATAATAGAAAAAAATTAATGAATCGAAGAGTTGGAAAAAAGAAAAAGCGAATGGAATCGAAGAATTGGAAAACCCAAACCTGTAAAATCGGAAAAAAATGGAATCGTCAAAATTATAAAGTCGCAAAACTGTAACATTGAAAACAGAAAAATTAAAAATCGAAAAATTGAAAAATCGTAAAATTTAAAAAGTGAACATTTTTAAAAATTGTTGTTGTTGCATATTTAAAATGAAAAATAGAATAATTGCAAATCAAAAATTGAAGAAATGGATAATTTGAACAAATGAAAGATTAAAAATAAACAAATTGAAAGCTCGAATAAATGAAAAAGTTTGAAAACTTTTCATAGTCCCGGTTTTCCTATTTTTAGTTTTTCGATATATCACAAGTTTCCTTTTTCGTTTTTTCATTTCATTTATTTTTTCAATTTTTCTTTGGATTTTATAATTATTCATTTATTCCATTTTTCAAATTTGCAATTTTTGCATTTCTCAATCGACCGATTTTCCGATTTTTTTAATGTTCAGTATTTCGATCTTACAATATTAAACACTGAAAAATCCAGAAATCGAAAAATTGAAAAATCACAATTGAAGAAAGAATTGAAAAATCAAGAAATAGAGAAATGGGAAAATCAAAAAATCAGTTAATCGAAAAATTGAAAAATCGAAAAATTTAGAAACGTCAAAATTTGAAAACTGAAAAATAAAAAAAAATTTAAAATTGTAAAACTGAAATATCGTAAAGTTAATAAATTGAAAAACTGCAAATTTTTGAAAAAAAAAATTGTATCAAAAACTAAAAATTAAAAAAATCGAGAAATTGAACAATCAAAAAATCAAAACATTGAAATCCCAGTAAGTTGATAAATAGGAAAATTTAAAAAATAAAAATTTTAAAAATCCAAGAATTGAACAACAAAAAAATCTAAGACTGTTACTCAGAAAATTGAATAATCGAGAACAAAAAATCTAAAATTTAAAAATTCGACAAATTGAAAAATCATGGAACTGAAAAATCGAAAAGTCGAGATGGTGAGAACTCTAAAAACTTAAAACTTTAAAAACTGAAAAATTAAAATATCGAAAAATTTAAAAACCGAGAAAACACAATATCAAAAATTTGAAAAATTGAAGAAACGAATATTGTAAAATTCCAAAGCTGAAATATTGAAAAACCTAAAAATGGAAGGAAAGTTAAAGAATCGAAACAGTGAAAAAATCCCAAACTGAAACATTGAAAAATTGAGAAATGGAAATTGGTCTAAAGAGTTTCGACAGTACTTTCCTCGCTATCGGAAACGTGACGACTGCATGCCTATTATGTTTTTTTTTCACATTAGATTTCAAAGCATTCGGTTTTGTAGTTGCTGATTAAATCAATAAAATAAATTTGCGCATTCATTAAATTTTTTGAGTCACCCGGTATATGCAAATGCAAAAAATATGAATGGGATGATAAATTACAACAAGAGACTCATCATATTTTGTAAATTTTAAATAGGATTATACGGCAAACTTTTAAGCTGACGTCATCAATTTTTTTGAGGGGATAAGCAAATATGTTTTGACTAAAAATTTATTATGCTCTTTATAACCTTAAAACATTTGCAAGATTTCAAAGCATCGAGTTCTGTAGTTCCTGATTAAATCAATAAAATAAATTTACGCATTCATTAATTTTTGGGGTCATCCTGTATATGCAAATCCAAAAAACATGAATGGAATGATAAATCACAAGAAGAGACTCATCATATTTTATACAATTTAGATAGGAATTATTCAGCAAAATTGGAGGTGACGTCATCAATTTTTTAGAGGGGATAAGTAAATATATTGTGATTAAAATGGTCCTGGTTTAATAACAAAAAATATTGTTCGTCTATAAAACAAGCTCGTCTTAGACAAAGTATTCGTAAAAAAAATATGTCGTAAAAAAATTTACGTATGCTGGTCCCGACTGCGATTATGGTTTAAATATTTTTTAGAAAATCCTGTCATGGATGTAGAAACATTTGTGACAGCCAAAGAGGTTTTTTTGAGAAAATTATCTTTGAATTTAGACCAAATTGAAATAAACACTAGGCAACATGCACATTTGGGCAAAAGAAAGAAAAATTAGGGTTACGGCTTCAAATTTTGGACGTATTTACAAACTTAGACCGACTACAGCAACAGCTAAAACTGTAAAGTCTCTGTTGTACTGTACATTTAGAGGTAATAGTCATACATACTATGGACAGCAAAGTGAGTAAAATGCTGTCCAGTGTTTTGAAATAAATAAAAATATAAAAACTGAACGGTGTGGCTTGTTTATTTCAAAACAATTTCCTTACTTGGCTGCTAGTCCAGACAGAGGATAGGAGTGCATTAGTCGAAATTAAATTCCCTTCAAAATCGCAAGATTTGTCTCCCGAAGAAGCGGTTAGAAAAAAAATAATCAAATTTTGTACATTGACAGACAGAGAATTGAAACTAAAAAAAAATCATGATTACTACTTTGACTTTCAAGTCCAGGGACAAATGCTTGTTACGGCTATTTCACAAGTTTATTTTGTTCTACGGACACCCAAAGGAATAAATATAGAAAAAATTTATAAAGACGAAGAAATATATGTAAAAAGATGGCAGATAAATTTGGCAGATTTTACTTTAGCGCATTATTGCCCGAAATAATTGATTCAAGAAGAAAGAGGAACCTGCCTTTGCGAGAGATTTTTTTAAAGTAAATAAAATTTGTTTCTATTTTTTCATGTACTTTATTAATTTATTAGGAGTACATTTTTCATCACCAAGACTGGCATATTTTTATTATAAATATATTTTGAAAATGATCTCCCGGCAAATGAAGACATACGAGCACTTTTTTCGAGTAAACAATGAAGGGAGAAGTTACTGGGCGTAGGGCTTTTTTAAAACACCTCCTTTCTGGGATAAGTAGTAGATACACTTAGCTATTTATACGTGTTAAACAAAGCAAAATATATATTAACAATAATATTACAATGAATTTTTAGTAATCATGTGTATTGAATTCAGGATCCTGAGTTTAGTAAAAATATTATAGTTCCCCAGTTTTAATTCGGTTTTATGATAGTACCTCATTCCGTAAAAGTTTATTTCCTTAACAATAGATTACTACGGCCGGTCCTGGCTGCTTGTTATAAAACTGAGTTCCTTGCCATAAATTAGAAAAATCAGCCGAGAACTCTAACAATCAGCTTTTGGTAGAGCAGGCGATAACGGTTTTACCTGGAAAGTCGCTTCCGTAAATTTAGTGGCGCTCCTATCGGCAAAGTAGTGAACTAACTGCTCAAATTCTGTCGAGTTGATTCCCATTTTTTTCAATAATTGTTAGTTTTTGTCAAAAATTCTGCTAACCTAGATCATTAATTTTCCTCTGATATTACTGTTAAAATTATTCCACGTATTTTGCATTAATTTGTGGTATATTTTGATTTTAATAAACACATTATTATTTAAACAAATTGTACCACTAACAAACATTAATGACTCTGCGCCCTGTAAAAAGTGATGTTTTAACCATGTGCGAATTTTCAAGCGATTCTATGATGGTTATGACTCAAAAAACTTGAAAAGAAAACATACAATGGTGCTTTTTTACGATATTTCCCAGCCATATTTTTTTAGTTGATTGAACTGGTCTCTCCGCTCTAGAATATGAAAAAATCTGCAGTTTGATGTATGATACATCTATATTAATATCATTTTTTCATACAAAAAACCAAAAAAATTTTGTACCTCGTCTAGTGAGTCCTCTTAAGGCTACATCTTTATTTGAACCAATCTATCCAGGTGTGTTTTGGCATAGAAGCAGAATTTCCATCTCGAGAAAAATGTTCCCGAAGGATAATAAGAACTTCAATATATCAATATTAATATTTTTATATAAAAAAGTAAAAATCTGTTCGTTTTTTTTTTAATTCCTAAACGATTTGATTTCACTAATGAATCAAGAACTCCTTATTAAGGTTATTATGAAGTTAATAAAGTCACTTTAAATTATCAAAATGGAATAAATTAAATTAACGAAAACTAATTAGGTAGTTAGTAAATGGGAACGGGAATAACAACAGAATGCAATGAAGCAACGTTATCCTATTCTAAAATAAACGAAGTGCAGCCCGTAACTGAACGGAATTGCCGTCCCCCACGAGCGGTACCGACTTTGACCCTCATCGGCTCGACGGAAATCCTCTGCCTCTTATAAATTATAATTTATAAACCGAACTCTGGTAGAGAGTGTGCACTGCACGAGTTCGTCTAAGTTGCAAAAATGTTTAAACATCTAATTATAGTCTTTGCAATCTCCATAAACAATATTTATACAGAAAACTTAATTGGTAAGTTAAATTTAATCAAACTACCTATGCCATCATTTACAATGTATAGACATTGTGGTCCCTCAGGTCATCTAACTCATCAGGAGTATGCACACCATTAACAGAATGTAAGACGGTTAAAGACGAAGAAAAATAAGTAATGTAATAGTGTGTAATAGTGAACTAAGGAGCAACTCAAACATTCGTTCGTGAAGAATCAACTCGATTGTAATAAAAGAATCAAAATTTCACCAGATCAAACACAATGTATCAGTAATTTACAAACTACAACATATTTTTATCACTTATCATAATAACAAAAAATAAAAAATCTCAGGTGGTTTTCTTGTCTCACATAAATATTTCACCATTACTCCTCCCAACGAATTATTATTTGACTTGACCCACAAGGCCAAGGAAAACGTTACCTCTCGTACGTAAATACCCACTTTGTACATTAACAGTAGCACTAGAAGACATAAGAAGTGTGCTCTTAAACAGTAAACAATGTTTAAATTTTTTAGTATTGTTATTGTAATCTCAGTTCAAAGTGTTTACACAAAAGACATTATTAGTGAGTTTTCTTCATTTTTCCTGTAACACTGTTATTTTCTAAAGTAGCAACGTTTGCATCAATTATTAAAAACTATCGAAGGAATTAAATTTGACTTTAAAATGTTTGTCTTCAGAACTTTTATGCCTAACACAAATTATTATTGATGGCTTCCAGCCATGTATACCTCATCTCGCTAGAACGGGTTTTGGCAATTTTTTTCGCTAGAATTTAAATTTTCAGCACACTGTAACATTTTTTTCCATCACTAATGAGGCTGTTTGCGTCAGAAATCTAATATCTAATTCCGTTTGTATAAATTAAATCGGTGTACGAAACAAGTTACATTCCGACTTTTTTTCAGTTTTTCATTTCTTTTACAGGAAGCCCATGCACCCTTCAGTCGTCTAACTCTCCAGGAGAATGCAAACTCTTAACCGAATGTAAGGAAATTCAAGACGAAGCAGTACTTGGTTACAAAACACCTCAAAGTTGTGGCTTCGAAGGGACACAAACCGTAGTTTGCTGCCCGAAATCTCGTCGACCAGGAGATATCAGCGAAAAAAGTACGTCTACAAGCAAGCTTCCTCTTCATACAAAATAAAACTAAATTCAAATTGCGTTGTAGAATGTAGCGAATATGCTTCGTATACAAAGGAGAAACAATTATGTGGACACAATATTGTGAAGCGCATCGTTGGGGGAAAACCGGCTGGTAGAACAGAATTTCCCCACATGGCGATATTTGGATATGAGAAGAGAGGTTCTGAGAATATTCAGTGGTTATGTGGAGGATCACTTATCAGTGAACAATATATTTTGACAGCAGCACTTTGCTTGTCTTCACGCTTAGTGTAAGTTTTACAACTAATTTTCATATAAATTGTACCCAATCTCTTTGTTTTAGTGGTGAACCGAAATTAGTGTTGTTAGGAGTCACCAATCTTAACGACACCAATCACAGACGGGAAATAAAAATAATAAATAACGTGGTACATCCAGAATACAGAAATATCACCTACTACCACGACATAGCGCTAGTAAAATTGGAGAAACCAGTCGAAATAAATTCGTATGTGCGTCCGGCGTGTCTTAACACAAATTTTGACTTTTCTGTCTCACAAGCTATTGCTACTGGATGGGGTTTTACACAGCCTTCAGGGAAGAGAAGTGAAGATTTACAGAAAGTAACCTTAGATATCACGGACCATCAACTGTGTAACAACACTTACAACAAGGTGTTATGTCAAGGAATTATAAATGATGTACATATTTGCACAGGAAGCGATAATGAAAAGAAGGGTACTTGTCGGGTCAGTTCATATAATATTTTCATGTACTCGTAGTTTCCACGAACTTTTATCTCTAGTTTAACAAAAATACGTTTTGACGTTTTAGGGTGATGTTGGTGGTCCGCTGCAAATACATCACAAAAACGACCCTACACTGTGCATGTATGACGTAGTGGGGGTAATTTCGTCTGGAATAATATGTTCTCAAGGTCCTTCTGTAAATACACGAGTCTCCCATTATATTAAGTGGATTGAAGACATAGTATGGCCAGAAAAGACTCAGTAAAATTATTACTACTACACTAATTTGACAACAATGAACAATAAATAATAGTCTGATACGGTGGTTAACTTCTGATAAAATGAGAAATAGTTATTGTCTATTGACGTACTCTATACACCCGGAACAAAAATTGTTCTTTCCCTCCTAGCAAAAACTTATTACTACCAGGTAGGATTATACAAACTGCTGGATTTAACTTAAAGTCTAGGATTAAAATTTGACCAAACCATTTATTTTTGGCGAATCAAGTTTTTGATTCCCGATGAAGTTAAATTTAAATGCTGATTGTTTAATCAATAGAACTGAGATTTTCTACGTACATATTTTGTAGTACCATAGACTTATTATTTGACTTACAGGCTTAATAAGATTTCCAGTAGGGGTACAAATTAACTAAATCTACATAATACAAATAAATCTATAAAATAAATAAAATAAATTCGAGTTTTATGTAATCATAATTGTTCTGTTCTTTCTGCTTGCCTATCCCTAGTCTTAGTTCTCTCTACACTGTATCTGTCGTTTTCCCTTGGACAGCACTTATTCCTTCCGATCCCGACACTATTGTTATTAGGAAAGCCCAGGAAAAATTTTTGGAGCAATTTTAGGAGCAGCAGAAAGGAAGATCAATTTTCTATGTTCCACCTGTTTCTCGCAACCCAGAAATTGTGAGTGGAGGAGAAAGTCATGCATGACACTCCTTAGAAAAACATGAGGGTAAAGGCACCAATGATGTGATAGTGATCGACGATAAAGAAGTAGAACAAAAAATATCAGTTCTATTCAGATTTCTAAGTATGGGGAGGCCTAGGGCAAATTCTATGGGGTGTAGCCCTGTCAAAGGAGAAAAAAGGCGACTGATATAGATAGCTCCCCTGAAATAATACTACAGGAGGAAAAGGAAGACCACTGAGGAGGAAACCGAAATAATACAGGAAGTTGTTCGGGTGCTAACGCCCTTGTGGTGGAGCCTAGAAATAAAACCACAAGTCAAAGACGTCAAAAAAAAGGACTATCAAAGACAGACCGACCTAGTACGAAGAGAAACTACATGCAAAGAATATATACTTGCAAAGAAGAAGTTGAGAAATGCATAAAAAAGCTAAAGAAGACAAATGGAAGGAACTGGAGAAACGAATAGAAATGTTTAAGGAACAAAGTGAGACGATGAGTAAGATAATCCCTGAGGAGGTCATAACTTTGCTTGCTGCAAATTAAAACTAGGGAAAGCACTTGGCCCTGACGACATCGCGCCCGACGCTGCAAAAGCCCTGGTAGAAGCAAATACATCTTTCTTCCGAGAGTTATATAACCGGCTCCTGAGACAAAACAATTTACCCCGAAGAATGGAAAACCGCCAAATTAGTAATAATAGAAAAACCTAAGAAGGATGAGAAGGAAGAAAGCAAGTAGAGACCAATGTACCTGCTGAATATATTAGGAAAAATATATGAACGTGGCTTCAGAAAAGAGGAATTGACAATAGACGCCATACAAAAACTTGTGACTACAGCCAAAAACAGAGGAAAATAGTGTGGAATTATACTGGTTGATGTCAAGAATGCGTTCAATACAGCGTCATGGGAAGGTATGAAATGACGATCGGGATGGAAAACCTAGTGGTAAAATGCTAGAGACTAAAGAAAATTGGGAATATGTGGAAAGTTCCATGAGAGAAGTGATCAGTAGAAAACAGGAGGACGAGAGAAGACGAAGAATATGATCAAGCATATCAAAAGGACAGGACTTACCCTGAAGTTATGTGCAAACGGTACCGAGGTAAAATAGAATAGGAGTAAAGGTTTTAGTTGATAGACCAGTGGCCCGAGTGTCTTTAGAAAATTTCCGACCTTCTCAAAAATATAAAAAAAGGTCAGATCAGGTCAGAACAGCTGTTATAGAAAAGGGTTTTAGCCGGTAAAAGTCGACTCACTACCAAGAATGATCGAACTTAAGGGGACTCGCTAGACGAGGTATAATATTTTTTTTGGTTTTTTGTATGAAAAAATAATACTAAAATAGATGTATCATACATCAAACTGTTTTCTTTTCAAGTTTTTTGAGTCATAACCATCATAGAATCGCTTGAAAATTCGCATATGGATAAAACATCACTTTTTACAGGGCGCAGAGTCATTAAATGTTTGTTAGTGGTACAATTTGTTTAAATAATAATGTGTTTATTAAAATCAAAATATACCACAAATTAATGCAAAATACGTCGAATAATTTTAACAGGAATGTCAGAGGAAAATTAATAATCTATTGGTTAGCAGAGTTTTTAACAAAAACTAACAATTATTGAAAAAAATGGGTATCAATTCGACAGAATTTGAGCAGTTAGTTCAGTACTTTGCTGATAGGAGCGCCACTAAAATTTACGGAAGCGACTTTCCAGGTAAAACCCTTATCGCCTGCTTTACCATAAGCTGATTGTTAGAGTTCTCGGCTGATTTTTCTAATTTATGGCAAGGAACTCAGTTTTATAACAAGCAGCCAGGACCGGCCATAGTAATCTATTGTTAAAGAAATTAACTTTTACGCAATGAGGTACTATCATAAAACCGAATTAAAACTGGAGAACTATAATATTTTTACTCCACACAGGATCCTAAATTCAATACACATGATTACTAAAAATTCATTGTAATATTATTGTTAATATATATTTTGCTTTCTTAATTAATAAAACTAATAAACATATTTATAATAATAATAAAAAATATATAAAATACAGCTTTTGTTTAACACGTATAAGTAGCTAAGTCTATCTACTACTTATCCCAGAAAGGAGGTGTTTTAAAAAAGCCCTACGCCCAGTAACTTCTCCCTTCATTGTTTACTCGAAAAAAGTGCTCGTATATGTTTTCATTTGCCGAGAGATCATTTTCAAAATATATTTATAATAAAAATATGCAAGTCTTGGTGATGAAAAATGTACTCCTAATAAATTATTAAAGTACATAAAAAAATAGAAACAAATTTTATTTATTTTAAAAAAATCTCGCAAAGGCAGGTTCCTCTTTCTTCTTGAATCAATTAATTCGGGCAATATAGCGCCAAAACAAAATCTGCCAAGTTTATCTGCCATCTTTTTACATATATTTTTTCGTCTTTATAAATTTGTTCTATATTTATTCCTTTGGGTGTCCATACCACCAAATAAACTTGTGAAATACCCGTAACAAGCATTTGTCCCTGGACTTGAAAGTAGTAATCATGATTCTTTTTTTAGTTTCAATTCTCTGTCTGTCAATGTACAAAATTTGATTATTTTTTTTCTAACCGCTTCTTCGGGAGACAAATCTTGCGATTTTGAAAGGCATTTAATTTCGACTAATGCACTCCTATCATCTATAACCCTGTCTGGACTAGCAGCCAAGTAAGGAAACTATTTTGAAATAAACAAGCTACACCGTTCGATTTTTATATTTTTATTTATTTTAAAACACTTGACAGCTTTTTCCTCAATTTGCTGTCCATAGTATGTATGACTATTACCTCTAAATGTACTGTACAACAGAGACTCCACAGTTTTAGCTATTGCTGTAGTCGGTCTAAGTTTGTAAATACGTCCAAAATTTGAAGCCATAACCCTAATTTCTCTTTCTTTTGCCCAAATGTGCCTGTTGCCTAGTGTCTATTTCAATTTGGGCTAAATTCAAAGATAATTTTCTCAAAAAAACCTCTTTGGCTGTCACAAATATTTCTACATCCATGACAGGATATTCTAAAAAATATTTAAACCATAATCGCAGTCGGAACCAGCATACGCAAATTTTTTAACGACATACTTTTTTACGAATACTTTGTCTAAGACGAGCTTGTTTTATAGACGAACAATATTTTTTTGTTATTAAACCAGGACCGTTTTAATCACAATATATTTACTTATCCCCTCTAAAAAATTGATGACGTCACCTCAAAATTTTGCTGAATAAATCCTATCTAAATTGTATAAAATATGATGAGTCTCTTCTTGTGATTTATCATTCCATTCATGTTTTTTGGATTTGGATTTTTACATGATGACCCCAGAAATTAATGAATGCGTAAATTTATTTTATTGATTTAATCAGGAACTACAGAACCCAATGCTTTGAAATCTTGCAAATGTTTTAAGGTTATAAAGAGCATAATAAATTTTTAGTCAAAATATATTTGCTTATCCCCTCCAAAAAATTGATGACGTCAGCTCAAAAGTTTGCCGTATAATCCTATTTAAAATTTACAAAATATGATGAGTTTCTTCTTGTAATTTATCATTCCATTCATATTTTTTGGATTCGGATATACAGGGTGACTCAAAAAATTTAATGAATGCGCAAATTTATTTTATTGATTTAATCAGGAACTACAAAACCGAATGCGAATCTAATGTGAAAAAAAACATAATAGGCATGCAGTCGTCGCGTTTCCGATAGCGAGGGAAGTACTGTCTAAACTTTTTTTGATTTTCCTATTTTTCCATTTCTCAATTTTTCAATGTTTCAGTTTGGGATTTTTTCACTGTTTCGATTCTCTAATTTTCCTTCCATTTATAGGTTTTTCAATATTTCAGCTTTGGAATTTTGCAATATTTCGTTTCTTCAATTTTTCAAATTTTTGATATTGTGTTTTCTCAGTTTTTAAATTTTTTGATATTTTAATTTTTCAGTTTTTAAAGTTTTAGGTTTTTAGTTTTCTCACTATCTCAACTTTTCGATTTTTCAGTTGCATGATTTTTCAATTTGTCGAATTTTTAAATTTTAGATTCTTTGTTGTTTTGAGTTTTCAGGCTTAGATTTTTTGTTGTTGAATTCTTGGATTTTAAAATTTTTGTTTTTTAAATTTTCCTATTTCTCAATTTAATGGGATTTCAATGTTTTGATTTTTTGATTGTTCAATTTCTCGATTTATTGAATTTCTAGTTTTTGATAGGATTTTTTTTTTCAAAAATTTTCAGTTTTTCAATTTATTAACTTTACGATATTTCAGTTTTACGATTTTTAAATTTTTTTATTTTTCAGTTTTCAATTTTTGACGTTTCTAAATTTTTCGATTTTTCAATTTTTCGATTAACTGATTTTTTGATTTTCTCATTTCTCTATTTCTTGATTTTTCAATTCTTTCTTCAATTGTGATTTTTCAATTTTTCGATTTCTGGATTTTTCAATGTTTCAATTTTGGATTTTTTCACTTTTCCGATTGTTCAATTTTCTTTCCATTTTTCAGTTTTTCAAGATTTCAGTTTTGAATTTTTTCACTTTTTCGATTTTTCAATTTTCCTTCCATTTTTCAGTTTTTCAGTGTTTCAGTTCTGAGATTTTGCAATGTTTCGGTTCTTCAATTTTTCCATTTTTTGATGTTTCGATTTCTCGGTTTTTCAATTTTTCGATAGGTATTTTAATTTTTCAATTTGTAAGTTCTAGATTTTCCGTTAATTAACTATTCAAATCTCCAAATCCCCAAACAGAACACCCTGTAATTTTTACTGTATCTCGCTCTGGTTTTCGTTTTATTTCTCTCAATAGTTTGGTACGCATAAAAAAATCGGGACGACAGACGGACAGACAGACGGACAGACGGACAGACAGACAGGCGGAAACGGGAGAGCTATTTCTTCGTCCTGTAGGGGTCATGATAGGTCGAAAAAATGCAAAAGTAGAGAGTCGGCCGACGGACTCGATTACAATACTTCCTTTGCTTACGCTCGGGAAGTAAAAATTTGCAACAAAGAAGGAATAAAGTTTTGAGATACGTCTTCTAGTACTTTTTGGACAAAAAACGACAAAAAAGCGCCAAAAAAATGGAAAATAAAAAAGCTGAAGAGAAGATATTTTAAAAAGGTCAAAAAGGACAACAAGAGGACGATAAAATGAGAGAAAACAACAAACAGCACATAAAAATGCCATAAAAGAAGGTGATGAAAAAGACGCCTAGAGAAGAGAGTTGAATAAAGCGAGAAAAGAAAAACACAAAAATGTTACAAAAAAAAAACGCGACCAAAAAAAGAGGCAACAAAAAATCGATAAATAAACCACAAAAAAGGGACAAGTCAAACTTTCGTTCCTATAGAATCATCTCAGTCTTAGTAAAAGTATCAAAATTTCACGACTTAAAACACAATGTTTCAGTAGTTTACAAACTAGTGTAAAGTCTTATTAAAATTGTCACAACATACTTTTAACTCTTCTAAAAATAAGTAAATGAAACATCACAGGTGTTGTCTCATATTTATCATTGCTCGTGGAATAATTATCTTAAGTTGACTCACAAGGCTAAGGAAAACTTTCTATATCAGACGTAAAAACCCATTTTGTATAATAAAAGTCACAATAGTCGAGAGAAAGAGTTACTTAGTCGAGTGTGCTTCTAAACAGTAAACAAAATGTTTAAATTTTTTCTTGTTGTTACTGGAATCTGGCTTCAAAGTGTTTACACCAAAGACATTATTGGTAAGTTTTCTTTCTTGTTCCTTTATCATTGTTTTCTTTTACGAAAAGCAATGTTTGCATTAATTAATAAAAACTATCGAAGAAATTCAGTAATGCAAAATTTGCATTCATTTTTTGAAAATGTTTCCTCGAGTGGGTGAAATCTATTTCTTCAGATTTTGTATGGTTAATGCAATTTATTGATATTTCCAGCTGTATTCAGGCGGCCAAGGTGTTATTTAAGCAATTTTCTCATATATATGAATTAAATCCCTGTGCAAAACAAGTTATGTACTAAATTAGGATAAATCAAACTAAGTTGTTGTCCAGCTTTAACTATGTAGGTTGCGTGATCTAACACCATAAAACACTTTCATATGATACGCTTCTGTCCGCACACTTTTATAGAAAAAACTCAATTTTGTTATTTCATTAAAGGACAATGGTTTAAATAAAAATGAGTCACATTCGACGCCACAGTCCTACACAGGTATGAATAGTGTAAGGCCAGTAAACTAACAACTCAAACATTCGTTCGTAAAGACTCAACTCGATTGTAATAAAAGTATCATAATCTCACCATATCAAACATACACAAAAATGTATCAGTAATTTACAAACTAGCTTGAAGTTTTATTCAAGCTACTACAACATGTTTTAACACTTATCATAATAATAAAAAATAAAAAATCTCAGGTGGTTTTCTCGTTTCACATAAATATTTCACCATTACTCCTCCCAACAAATCATTAATTGACTTGACCCACAAGGCCAAGGAAAACGTTACCTCTCGGACGTAAATACCCACTTTGTACAATAAAAGTAGCACTAGAATACAGGAGTTGCTTTTTCGAGCGTGCTCTTAAACAGCAAACAACGTTTCAATTTTTTAGTATTGTTATTGTAATCTCATTTCAAACTGTTTACACAAAAGATATTATTGGTGAGTTTTCTTTATTTTTCCTGTAACACTGTTGTTTTCTAAAGTAGCAACGTTTGCATCAATTATTAAAAACTATCGAAGGAATTAAATTTGACCCTCAAAATGTTTTTCTTCAGAACTTTTATGGCTAAAACAAATTATTTTTGATGCTTCCAGCCATATGTACCTCATCTCGCTAGAACGGGTTTTGGCAATTTTTTCGCTAGAATTTAAATTTCCAGCACACTGTAACATTTTTTTGCATCACTAATGAGGCTGTTTGCGTCAGAAAACTAATATCTAATATCTAATCCCGTTTGTATTAATTTAATCGGGGTACGAAACAAGTTATATATGATTGTATACTAAATTAGGATAAATTAAACTAATAAGGTTCTCTGAGCACACAAAAGCTTGAAAGACTCGATTCTAATGTTTTTTTTCAGTTTTTCATTTCTTTTATAGGAAGCCCTTGCACCCTTCAGTCTTCTAATTCTCCAGGAGAATGCAAACTCTTAACCGAATGTAAGGAACTTCAAGACGAAGCAGTACTTGGTTACAAAACACCTCAAAGTTGTGGCTTCGAAGGGACACAAACCGTAGTTTGCTGTCCGAAATCTCGTCGACCAGGAGATATCAGCCAAAAAAGTACGTCTACAAGCAAGCTTCCTCTTCATACAAAATAAAACTAAATTCAAATTGCGTTTTAGAATGTAGCGAATATGTTTCGTATACAAAGGAGAAACAATTATGTGGACACAATATTGCAAAACGCATCGTTGGGGGAAAACCGGCTGGTAGAACAGAATTTCCCCACATGGCGATATTAGGATATGAGAAGAGAGGTTCTGAGAATATTCAGTGGTTATGTGCAGGATCACTTATCAGTGAACAATATATTTTGACAGCAGCAAATTGCTTGTCTTCACGGGCAGTGTAAGTTTTACAACTAATTTTCATATAAATTGTACCCAATCTCTTTGTTTTAGTGGTAAACCGCAATTAGTGTTGTTAGGAGTCACCAATCTTAACGACACCAATCACAGGCAGGAAATAAAAATAATAAATAACGTGGTACATCCAGAATTCAGAAAGAGAACCTACTACAACGACATAGCGCTAGTAAAATTGGAGAAACCAGTCGAAATAAATTCGTATGTGCGTCCGGCGTGTCTTAACACAAATTTTGACTTTTCTGTCTCACAAGTTATTGCTACTGGATGGGGTTATACACAGCCTTTATGGAAGACAAGTGAAGATTTACAGAAAGTAACATTAGATATCACGGACCATCAACTGTGTAACAACACTTACAACAAGGTGTTAAGTCAAGGAATTATAAATGATGTACAAATTTGCACAGGAAACGATAATGAAGAGAATGATACTTGTCAGGTCAGTTCATAGAATATTTTCATGTGCTCGTATTTTCCACGAACTTTTATCTCTAGTTTAACAAAAATACGTTTTGACGTTTTAGGGTGATGCTGGTGGTCCGCTGCAAATACATCACAAAACCGACCCTACACTGTGCATGTATGACGTAGTGGGGGTAATTTCGTTTGGAATAGGATGTTCTCAAGGTCCTTCTGTAAATACACGAGTCTCCCATTATATTAAGTGGATTGAAGACGTAGTATGGCCAGAAAAGACTCAGTAAAATTAATACTACTACACTAATTTGACAACAATGAACAATAAATAATAGTCTGATACGGTGGTTAACTTCTGATAAAATGAGAAATAGTTATTGTCTATTGACGTACTCTATACACCCGGAACAAAAATTGTTCTTTCCCTCCTAGCAAAAACTTATTACTACCAGATAGGACTATACAAACTGCTGGATTTAACTTAAAGTCGAGGTTTAAAATTTGACCAAACCATTTATTTTTGGCGAATCAAGTTTTTGATTCCCAATGAAGTTAAATTTAAATCGCTTTTTAATGCTGATTGTTTAATCAATAGAAGTGAGATTTTCTACGTACATATTTTGTAGTAGCATTGACTTATTATTCGCCTTACAGGCTTAATAAGATTTCCAGTAGGGGTACAAATTAACTTAATCTACATAATACAAATAAATCCATAAAATAAATAAAATAAATATTCGAATTTTATGTAATAATAATAATTGTTCTATTCTTTCTGTTTGCCTATCCCTTGCCTTAGTTCTCTCTACACTGTATCTGTTGTTTTCCCTTGGACAGCACTTATTCCTTCCGATCCCTACAGTACTATACAATTTCAGGAGCAGCAGAAAGGAAGATCAATTTTCTATGGTCCACCTGTTTCTCGCAACCCAGAAATTGTGAGTGGAGGAGAAAGTCATGCATGACGTTCCTTAGAAAAACATGAGGGAAAAGGCACCAATGATGTGATAGTGATCGATGATAAAGAAGTAGAACAAAAAATACCAGTTCTATTCAGATTTCTAAGTATGGGGAGGCCTAGGGCAAATTCTATGGACTGTACCGTGTACCCCTGTCAAAGGAAAAACAAGGCGACTGATATAGATAGCTCCTCTGAAATAATACTACAGGAGGAAAAGGAAGACCACTGAGGAGGAAACCGAAATAATACAGGAAGTTGTTCGGGTGCTAACGGCCTATTGGTGGAGCCTAGAAATAGAACCACAAGTCAAAGACGTCAAGAAAAAGGACTATCAAAGACAGACCGAACTAGTACGAAGAGAAGCTACATGCAAAGAATATATACTTGCAAAGAAGAATCTGAGAAATGCAGGAACAATGCAGGAGACAAATGGAAGGAACTGGAGAAACGAATAGAGATGTTTAAGGAACAAAGTGAGACGATGAGTAGGATAATCCCTGAGGAGGTCATGACGTTGCTTGCTGCAAATTAAAACTAGAGAAAGCACTTGGCCCTGACGACATCGCGCCCGACGCTGTAAAAGCCCTGGTAGAAGCAAATACATCTTTCTTCCGAGAGTTATATAACCGGCTCCTGAGACAAAACAATTTCCCCGAAGAATGGAAAACCGCCAAATTAGTACTAATAGAAAAACCTAGGAAGGATGAGAAGGAAGAAAGCAAGTAGATACCAATGTGCCTGCTGAATATATTAGGAAAAATATATGAATATCTAATATCAAAGGGGCTGATGGAGAAAGCTTAAATCCGTATTAATATGGCTTCAGAAAAGGGAAAATGACAATAGACGCCATACAAAAAATTATGACTACAACCAAAAACAGAGGAAAATATTGTGGAATTATACTGGTTGATGTCAAGAATGCGTTCAATACAGCGTCATGGGAAAATATGAAATGACGATCGGGATGGAAAACCTAGTGCTAAAATGCTAGAGACTAAAGAAAATTGGGAATGTATGGAAAGTTCCATGAGAGAAGTGATCAGTAGAAAACAGGAGGACGAGAGAAGGCGAAGAAAATGATCAAGCATATCAAAAGGACAGGACTTACCCTGAAGTTATGTGCAAACGGTACCGAGGTAAAATAGAATAGGAGGAAAGGTTTTAGTTGATTGACCAGTGGCCCAAGTGTCCTTAGAAAATTTCCGACCTTCTCAAAAATATAAAAAAAGGTCAGATCAGGTCAAAACAGCTGTTATAGAAAAAGGTTTTAGCCGGTAAAAGTCCTCTCACTACCAGGAATGATAGAACTTAAGGGGACTCGCTAGACGAGGTATAACATTTTTTTGGTTTTTTGTATGAAAAAATGATACTAATATAGATGTATCATACATCAAACTGTTTTCTTTTCAAGTTTTTTGAGTCATAACCATCATAGAATCGCTTGAAAATTCGCACATGGATAAAACATCACTTTTTACAGGGCCCAGAGTCATTAAATGTTTGTTAGTGGTACAATTTGTTTAAATAATAATGTGTTTATTAAAATCAAAATATACCACAAATTAATGCAAAATACGTCGAATAATTTTAACAGGAATGTCAGAGGAAAATTAATAATAATCTATTGGTTAGCAGAGTTTTTAAAAAAACTAACAATTATTGAAAAAAATGGGTATCAATTCTACAGAATTTCAGCAGTTAGTTCAGTACTTTGCCGATAGGAGCGCCACTAAAATTTACGGAAGCGACTTTCCAGGTAAAACCCTTATCGCCTGCTCTACCATAAGCTGATTGTTAGGGTTCTCGGCTGATTTTTCTAATTTATGACAAGAAACTCAGTTTTATAACAAGCCACCAGGACCGGCCGTAGTAATCTATTGTTAAGGAAATTAACTTTTACGCAATGAGGTACTATCATAAAACCGAATTAAAACTGGGTAACTATAATATTTTTACTCCACTCAGGATCCTGAATTCAATACACATGATTACTAAATATTCATTGTAATATTATTGTTAATATATATTTTGCTTTCTTAATTAATAAAACTAATAAACATATTTATAATAATAATAAAAAGTATATAAAATACAGCTTTTGTTTAACACATATAAGTAGCTAAGTGTGTCTACTACTTATCCCAGAAAGGAGGTGTTTTAAAAAAGCCCTACGCCCAGTAACTTCTCCCTTCATTGTTTACTCGAAAAAAGTGCTCGTATATGTTTTCATTTGCCGAGAGATCATTTTCAAAATTTATTTATAATAAAAATATGCAAGTCTTGGTGATGAAAAATGTACTCCTAATAAATTATTAAAGTACATGAAAAAATAGAAACAAATTTTTTACATTTACATAAAAAAATCTCTCGCAAAGGCAGGTTCCTCTTTCTTCTTGAATCAATTATTTCGGGCAATAAAGCGCCCAAGCAAAATCTGCCAAGTTTATCTGCCATCTTTTTACATATATTTCTTCGTCTTTATAAATTTTTTCTATATTTATTCCTTTGGGTGTCCATACAACAAAATAAACTTGTGAAATACCCGTAACAAGCATTTGTCCCTGGACTTGAAAGTAGTAATCATGATTCTTTTTTTAGTTTCAATTCTCTGTCTGTCAATGTACAAAATTTGATTATTTTTTTAACCGTTTCTTCGGGAGACAAATCTTGCGATTTTGAAGGGCATTTAATTTCGACTAATGCACTCCTATCCTCTAGAACCCTGTCTGGACTAGCAGCCAAGTAAGGAAATTGTTTTGAAACAAACGAGCCACGCCGTTCAGTTTTTATATTTTTATTTATTTCAAAACACTTGACAGCTTTTTTCTCACTTTGCTGTCCATAGTATGTATGACTGTTACCTCTAAATGTACTGTACAACAGAGACTCCACAGTTTTAGCTATTGCTGTAGTCGGTCTAAGTTTGTAAATACGTCCAAAATTTGAAGCCGTAACCCTAATTTCTCTTTCTTTTGCCCAAATGTGCCTGTTGCCTAGTGTCTATTTCAATTTGGTCTAAATTCAAAGATAATTTTCTCAAAAAAAACCTCTTTGGCTGTCACAAATGTTTCTACATCCATGACAGGATTTTCTAAAAAATATTTAAACCATTATCGCAGTCGGAACCAGCATACGTAAATTTTTTTACGACATACTTTTTTACGAATACTTTGTCTGAGACGAGCTTGTTTTATAGACGAACAATATTTTTTTGTTATTAAACCAAGACCGTTTTAATCACAATATATTTACTTATTCCCTCTAAAATATTGATGACGTCACCTCAAAATTTTGCTGAATAAATCCTATCTAAAATGTACAAAATATGATGAGTCTCTTCTTGTGATTTATCATTCCATTCATGTTTTTTGGATTTACATATACAGGATGACCCCAAAAATTAATGAATGCGTAAATTTATTTTATTGATTTAATCAGGAACTACAGAACCCAATGCTTTGAAGTCTTGCAAATGTTTTAAGGTTATAAAGAGCATAATAAATTTTTAGTCAAAATATATTTGCTTATCCCCTCCAAAAAATTGATGACGTCAGCTCAAAAGTTTGCCGTATAATCCTATTTAAAGTTTACAAAATATGATGAGTCTCTTCTTGTAATTTATCATCCCATTCATATTTTTTGAATTTGCATATACCGGGTGACTCAAAAAATTTAATGAATGCGCAAATTTATTTTATTGATTTAATCAGCAACTACAAAACCGAATGCTTTGAAATCTAATGTGAAAAAAACTCTTTAGATCAATTTTTTTGATTTTCCCATTTTTCCATTTCTCAATTTTTCAATGTTTCAGTTTGGGATTTTTTTACTGTTTCGATTCTTTAATTTTCCTTCCATTTATAGGTTTTTCAATATTTCAGCTTTGGAATTTTGCAATATTTCGTTTCTTCAATTTTTCAAATTTTTGATATTGTGTTTTCTCAGTTTTTAAATTTTTCGATATTTTAATTTTTCAGTTTTTAAAGTTTTAGGTTTTTAGATTTCTCACTATCTCGACTTTTCCATTTTTCAGTTCTATGATTTTTCAATTTGTCGAATTTTTCAATTTTAGATTCTTTGTTCTCGATCATTCAATTTTCTGAGTTTTCAGGCTTAGATTTGTTTGTTGTTCAATTCTTGGATTTTTAAAATTTTTGTCTTTTAAATGTTCCTATTTATCAACTTAATGGGATTTCAATGTTTTGATTTTTTAATTGTTCAATTTCTCGATTTTTTGAATTTTTAGTTTTTGATACGATTTTTTTTTCAAAAATTTTCAGTTTTTCAATTTATCAACTTTACGATATCTCAGTTTTACGATTTTAAAATTTTTTTATTTTTCAGTTTTCAATTTTTGACGTTTCTAAATTTTTGCGATTTTTCAATTTTTCGATTAACTGATTTTTTGATTTTCCCATTTCTCTATTTCTTGATTTTTCAATTCTTTCTTCAATTGTGATTTTTCAATTTTTCGATTTCTGGATTTTTCAATATTTCAGTTTTGGATTTTTTCACTTTTTCGATTCTTCAATTTTCTTTCCATTTTTCAGTTTTGAATTTTTTCAATTTTTCGATTTTTCAATTTTCCTTCCATTTTTCAGTATTTCATTGTTTCAGTTCTGAGATTTTGCAATGTTTCGGTTCTTCAATTTTTCCATTTTTTGATGTTTCGATTTCTCGGTTTTTCAATCTTTCGATAGGTATTTTAATTTTTCAATTTGTAAGTTCTAGATTTTCCGTTAATTTTATTGTTTTCCTTGATGTTTTGATTTCTCGATTATTCGATTTTTCAAGTTCTCGGTTTAGATTTTTTGGTTTTCCAATTCTTCAATTTTTAAATTGTTTAATTTTTAGATTGTTCAATTTCTCAATTTATAGATTTTTCAATTTTTCGGTTTACCGATTTTTTTCATTTAAAATGTTTCAATTTTTCAATTATTAAGTTTTCGATTTTTCAATTTTGGTGTAATTTGAAAACGGTTATTAGTTGAAAGTTAACCTTTTGATTCTATAATTGGACCCTTAAATCGACACAAATTTCAAACAGACGGACAGACGAAAGACAGACGGAAACGCGAGACCTAGTTTTTCGTAGTTTAGCCATTCCTCGGATTACAATACTTCCTTAGTTTTCACTCGAAAAGGAAAAAAGGATCTATTAATCTATGTGTGTAATCTTCGGATATTCAAATCTCCAAATTCCCAAACAGAACACCCTGTATTTTTTACTGTATCTCGCTCTGGTTTTCGTTTTATTTCTCTCAATAGTTTGGTATGCATAAAAAAATCGGGACGGCAGACGGACAGATAGACGGACAGACAGACAGACAGACAGACGGACAGACAGACGGAAACGGGAGACCTATTTCTTCGTCCTCTAGGGGTCATGATTAGACAGCGGATTTCTGTCGGGCTACGTCACAATATAGGTGGGGACGCGCTGCATCGCCGGTACTCAGTAGCGGGTGATAGGTAATCACTGAATTTAATTGTCACTTGATTCCATAAATACAATTAACGATTTATTAATCAAACGGCTAAGTAAATGAGAACTGGAATTAACAGCAGAGTGCAACGAAGCAGCGTTATTCTAATCTCAAATAAACGAAGTGCAGCCGGTAACTGCAATGAATTCCCATCCCGTACGAGCCGTACCGAGTTTGGCCTTGTCTAGCCCGACAGAAATCCGCTCCCTAGTCATGATAGGTCGAAAAAATGCAAAAGTAGAGAGTTGGCCGACGGACTCGATTACAATACTTCCTTTGTTTACGCTCGGGAAGTAAAAATTTGTAACAAAGAAGGAACAAAGAAGCTGAAGAGAAGGTATTTTAAAAAGATCAAAAAAGACCACAAGAGTACGATAAAATGAGAGAAAACAACAAACAGCACATAAAAAGGTCATAAAATAAGGTGATGAAAAAGACGCCTAGAAAAGAGAGTTGAAAAAAGCGAGAAAAGAAAAACACAAAAATATTACAAAAAACATTACGTTTCAGTAGTTTACAAACTAGTGTGAAGTTTTATTAAAATTGTCACAACACACTTTTAACTCTTGTAATAATAAGTAGAGAGCGGATTTTATGAAACTTGCATATCCGTTATTTTTTGCATATAAGTCTTGATATTTAATATGTGCACGAATCATGCTAATTAGAAATGAATATAACAATAAAAAAATTTCATATTTGCATATATTTGCCTTCTGCTGCATATTTCACGTAACGGGTGCATATTTTGCATTTTTATCAATTTTTGTGATAATTAAAAAAAATAATTGTCATTCTATCGGCGTTTATCTAGAAAGACGAAATTTCATGAATCGTGTTGCAAATATTGTCCTGAGGTTCAAATAACTAAGAGAGGTTTGGGTGTTATGGTAGTTTGGAGAAACCACTGGGTGTTAAGCCATTCCTCCAGGTAAATTCCGACCCTAATTACTTTTGGAAATACCGTTCATTCCCAATATTTTCGTTCGTTACTTAAGTGTATTAATACTACATGTTTTATGGTGGACGAAGGGACGTTATCCTGTTATTTTTCAGCGTGAGTTTGCATTGAAAGCATTTAAAGCGATATAGGTGTGTCAATATGTCGAAGATAGCTCAAATTAATTTATGGATTAAACCTTTTCTTGAACTCATTCTTCAAGAAGGCACTGTGTTTTGCGCTTGCTCTAAACCAAGTATTCTGTGGACGTAGTACGCAGTTATTCTATTTACAAAAATACATAAGTACCTTAGAATCACCGGAAAAACTTTTTGTTAGAGTATTTCGAAAAATATAAAAAAAATAAAGTTGTTACCAAAACAGTAATTAAATGATTACTACTGTGGGGTGATCAGATGATTGAAACAGTACTTGCGTTTTGGGGTATTTATTTTGATGTTGTCGGTACGGCAGATGAAGAAAGAGTTTGTGAAATTGAAATGAAAAGAAAGGTCGGTAGAAAGCGGTGGAAACAGTTGTGTCTAAAGGGTTCTTGGAAGGTATTCGAAATCTGGGAAATGATAAGTATTCTGAGAAGGATGAACAAAAGATAGGTTTTACGTCATGCAGGTGGACGAAGAGAAAGTTTCGGGGTGATACTGGGAAGTAATTAAATACAGATTGGATACAAATATACAAATGCTATACAATTTTGTGGGACTTGCCAGCCCCCGCACTGCCATTTTTTTATTTGTTCTGTTTATATTTATTTTTTAATATAAGAATATTATCTTTAAAAATTTGAATTATGTATTTGTTTTTGTAATTTGTAAATAAATTTAGTTCGGTTATTACGCTTTTTTTAAATTTTTTGAGCATATGCAACTGCATATCTCTGCATATATTAAGAAATTTACTGCATATTTGCATAAATTTGATGCATATCTTATGATCATATTTCCCAAAATTTTGCTGCATATTTTCCGCTCTCTAATAATAAGTAACTGAGTGAAACGTCACAGGTGGTTTGCTCGTCTCATTTTTATCATTGCTCACGAATAATTATCTTAAGTTGACCCACAAGGCCAAGGAAAACTTTAAATATCAGTTGTAAATACCCATTTTGTATAATAAAAGTGACACTAGTCGAGAGAAAGAGTGCTCGAGCGTGCTTCTAAAATGTTTAAATTTGTTTTTATTGTTACTGGAATCTGGCTTCAAAGTGTTTACACAAAAGACATTATTGGTAAGTTTTCTTTTTTTATTCCTATTACATTGTTTTCTTTTACGAAAACTATTAATTAATAATAAAATCTCTCGAAGAAATTCAGTAATGCAAAATTTGCATTCATTTTTGGAAATGTTTCCTCGAGTGGGTGAAATCTATTTCTTCAGATTTTTTATGGTTAATACAATTTATTGATATTTCCAGCTGTGTTCAGGCGGCCAAGGTGTTATTTAAGCAATTTTCTCATATATATGAATTAAATCTCTGTGCAAAACAAGTTATGCACTAAATTAGGATAAATCAAACTAAGTTGTTGTCCAGCTTTAACTATGTAGGTTACGTCATCCGACACCATAAAGTACTTTCATATGATACGCTTCTGTGAGCACACTTTTATTAAAAAACTCAATTTAATGTTTCTTCTTCAGTTATTCATTTTTTTTACAGGAAGCCCTTGCACTCTCCAGTCATCTAACACCCCAGGACAATGCAAACTCTTAACCGAATGTAAAGAAATTCGAGATGAAGCAGTACTAGGTCACAAACCACCTCAAACTTGTGATTTCGAAGGGACACAAACCGTAGTTTGTTGCCCGAAATCTCGCCAACCAGGAGATATTAGCAAAAAAAGTAAGTCCAAAAGCAAAATTTGCCATCATCATCAAATTGCGTTTTAGAATGTAGCGAATATTCTTCGTTTACAAAAGAGAAACAACTATGTGGACACAATATTGCAAAACGCATCGTTGGGGGAAAACCGGCTGGAAGAACCGAGTTCCCGCACATGGCGATACTAGGATATAAGCAGAGAGATTCTGAGAATAGACTGTGGATATGTGGAGGATCGCTTATCAGCAAACAATACGTTTTAACAGCAGCTACATGTACTACTCCATTGACAGTGTGAGTTCCCAAAGGAATAATTTGATTGCTTTAATTTTTGAACTGACTAAAAACCAAAGTAAACACTTTTTATAGCTATCTTTAATTATTTTAGTAGTGAACCAGATTTAGTCCTGTTAGGGGTCACCAATCTGAAGGACACAAACCACAGACAAGAAAGAAAAATTATAGAAAAAGTGGTACATCCAGAATACCGCGCAGACGCTTTTTATAACGACATAGCACTCCTAAAACTGGACAAACCAGTAGAAATTAATTCGTATGTAATTTTCTGGAAGCAGAAGTGAAGATTTACAGAAAGTAACACTAGATATTACAGACCATCAAATGTGTAATAGCAATTACAGAAACATAAGGCCACTAAACAAAGGAATTTCAAATGACAAACATATTTGCACAGGAAGCGAAAGTGAAGATAGTGATACTTGTCAGGTCAGTAATAGATTATTTTAGTGTTATTTCTAGCAATTTTCTAGATTAATGATGAAATATTATTGATGTTTTAGGGCGATTCTGGTGGTCCGGTGCAAATACATCATAATAACGACCCTAAGTTGTGTATGTATGATATAGTGGGGGTGATTTCGTTTGGAAAAGGATGTGCTCAAGGTCCTTCTGTAAATACTAGAGTTTCATATTACATTAAATGGATTGAAGACATAGTATGGCCAGAGAACACCCAGTAAAAGTACTACTACTACTACACTACTTTGACAACAAGCATCAATCAATAAATAATAGTCTTATAGTAACGCTCCTTGATTGTAATTTTCAGTCATCTTTATTAAATACGAAAGTTTCATAAGAGAAATCAGTGACGTAGTTAACTTCTGATAAAATAAGAAACAGTTATTACAGACCCGGAACAAAAATTGGTCTTTCCCTCCTAGCAAAAAATTGTTACTTCCAGGCAGCACCGTACAAACTGCTTGATTTAACTTAAAGTCGAGGCCTAAAACTTGACCAAACCGTTAATTTTGATCCTTGGTGAAGAAAAATTTAAATCGGTTTTTAATACCGTAATTGTTTGAGAAATTTTCTTGTTTTTCTCCTTTTTCTTTAATTAATTCATTAAAACTCTCACCAAGTATGTCTGATATTACAAAGTCGTAATAAGTAAGAAGAAATGGGCACAACACAGAAAATTTATAAAAATAAGAAAACCGCGTTAGAATAATATCAAGAACACTTCACATTTAATTACTCAGTTAATTAGATAATGATTTTGTAAACTGAAATATGTAAAACTTAGACTATTCCATACATTTGTATTTGGGAAACTTATGCCCCGGATAAGAGGCCTAGAAATAAGGGCTAGGAACGCATCTCCTGTGTGGTTCAATGTATGTAGGGTCAGGAAATAGAGAGATAAGCTTTTAAGTGTGCAGAGGAAGTCATTATTAAAAATGACAGCGGCCCTACAGTTGGTGGCCTCCGAACCACCATTGGACCTTTTGGCATTTTGCCGTTTTCGCGCGATTTCCAGATACAAGGTCACCTCCTCCAGGTCCAGGAGGAGCCCGTCCTGGAGAAAGTCGCCGCCCAGGAGGAACGACCATGCTGAACGTGTAATTCTTCTGTGTATTTAATTTGTTGTATTTTAATTAATCCTAGCCGTAAGTTTTATTATCTTAGCCGTGTAGCTGGTGGCAGGGAATAAACCCCTGTTATTATTTAAAATATTCCTTGCCGTTTTATTTGATTATCTTGTTTTCGCGGGCGCTCACCACCTGAAATACGTGTCTCCGGCTTGAGAGCAACCCCGACACATGACAAACATATTTGCACAGGAAGCGAAACTAAAGAGAGGGATACTTGTAGTGTGAGTTAATGGATTATTTTTGTGTGGTTTATAGAACTCTTCTATATTACTGATGTTTTAGGGCGATTCTGGTGGTCCGGTGCAAATACATCATAATAATAATCCTAAGTTGTGTGTGTATGATATAGTGGGGGTGATTTCGTTTGGAATGGGATGTGCTAAAAATCCCTCTATAAACACTCGAGTTTCCCACTACATTAAGTGGATAATATGGCCAGAGACCACTCAGTAAAATTACTACTACCAGTACTCTGCCAGGAAACAATAAATAAATAAATCTTACAGTAACTTTCTTTTATTGCAAAAATGTATACAGGGTCGCTGAAAACTATGAAAGCAGTTGAATATCCCGAGAACGGTTTATTGAATCTTTTTGAAATTTGGGCTGCCCCTAAGAATACTCAAGTTCTATTTTCTGCAGTTTTTCTAAATTCATAGTAAAACAAATTGTCAAAATAAGAATTCCCAAAATCAGAAAATCCTAGCAAGAGTTGACAATAATATCGCTTATCTTAGTCCTAGCGTAAGACACTTTATTCCAAACATATATTAGTGCGCAATCATTGTAAAATTTATAGAATATAGGGTACATAAACTGAACTAAAAGTACCAGCGTAACAGTTTGATTTAAATGCAAATTGAATATAATTTACAAAATATTCTTGAAATCACAATACTTCAATTTAACGATTATAAATAGTGAATACATTGTTATGAAAGCTTTTTGAAAAATTTAAATAAAAAAGTACATTATTGAAAAAAAAATCAAATTAATATTTAAAAAACAATAATTTTACAACAAATGAATCCTACATCCTGATCTAGTCTGTCTGCCATAATGAAGTTGAAAGTTTAAAAAAAAATACAGAAATAGTGCTTAAGTATTTTTAAGTGTAGTCCAAATTTCTAAAAGATCCAACCAATCGTTCCCCAGATATTCAACTGCCTCCATACTTTTTAGCAACCCTGTATACTCGATATACATATACATATATAAAATTTTTACTTAGACAATGTGTCGCTGAGGGAGCATACAAAGCAGACAACCTCAGTGATCTATATTAAAAACAAATTAAATATGAATAAATACTGATTTTAATATACTTGAATTATACATAGAACCACATTAAGAATTGTGACATTATGAAACTCGTAATTCCTCCTTAATGATAACGATACTAAAGTCGTATTTAAATCTTCGAAAAAAAAATCTTTCCGTATTTAGTCTTAGGTATTATACAATGTTAAAACTACTGGTTATTGTCAGCGTAATTTTGGTAGATAATGTTTACAGTCAACGAATAACTGGTGAGCTACTGTACTTGAACACATCCAGTCTGATTTTTAATTATTTTTACATGAGTATTTTCGACCACCAGAGGAGATAAGCCAAAAAAGTATACCAAAGAGTAATTTAATTAACTCAAAAATCTTCAATAGTTGTTCTTGAAGAAAACCTCTTTCTGAATAAAACCCATTTTTCTTGAAATTCAAATATCAGAATTGTTAAAATGTTTGGAATTACAAATTATGAAACCCTGAGACTTAGTGTGGTCATAATCATAACTAAAAGACGCTTTGCCTTCAAACACAACCCCTAGATCTTTTGTTTTGTCAGTCCGATTTAATACAATATTTTCTAACATGTAGTCAAAGTTTACTAACCAAATTCAGATCATCATCCTTTATTTATCAAGTCATAAATAAGGTTTCTGGATGCTTATACTTCTTAATTCCTCACACAAGATTGCTAATAGTTCATTTACGGCAGTTTAATTAACCTAACGTTGTCCCACTCTGGGAAAATGACCGAGGAAAGTGTGGTAGAATTCATAATATCGAGGTGGGAAATTACATCACCGAGACGCTTTCTCGCAACGTAGGAAATTACATCATCGAGACATAATTCTCGCAACGAGGGATACATTTTGTGGTTAAGTATTTATCATGTGTTTGTTTGGGACAGTTCACGCTATAAACTCCCAAAGCTAACTGTTTTAAGTAACCAGTCACTTGGATCAAGGCATAATTTAACATCATGTAAATTCTTTGTTTGATCTTTGATAAAGTGTGGCATAATTTAACATCATGTAAATTCTTTGTTTGGATCATTGATAAAGTGTGGCAAATATTAACCTCATGTAATTTTGTTAGCTTTGCAATTTTTCACCTTTCCTCACAATTTTAGCCTCAGTAATTTTCTTTGCTGCATAATTTAAATTAAACGTAAATTTTCATGCTCTGTAGTTCCCAACCTCACGTAATTTTTTTGTCTGCACAAGGTTTATTTCAGCACCAGATCTTTTTTTGTTTTTATAAATCTTTGCAAGTTTTTTTTGACCAGTAAATATTTTGTTGATTGATGTTTCCATCCTATAAATTGTTTGATATCCGATCTTAATCTCAAATAAGAATTCTTTGCTGTTTAAAATTTCACAGAGTGTTTGACGAACTTAGATGTTGTTTATTGTACTTCTTGAAACTATAACACTTATCTGGTTGTAGTTTAATGTAAGTGTCATAGAAATTGAACATTTAAATGGAATTGAGGTAAATAACACGAAAACACGTAGCGGAAGCGGAGTGCGCGGTTCCTTGTCGCGCCATTTGCACAAAAGACGCAGATCTTGGATAGAAGTCAAGGGAGCGGTCGAGGCGTCCTGACGCTCACGGTTTACCACTAGCCGGGATTTGCAACCACGATTTTGCGACCGTAACGGCGTCTTAGCGCTGTACGTGTCTTAGTTACATAGAGGGGTGTTGGACGGATGTGTTTGCCGATAGAGTAGAATCACCGTCGTGGCGGGAGAACAGCCACAACCAGGAGCCCCAAACTTCGCTCGTGCTACGACGCTCTCTATAGGTAATTTTGCTGTGCTCTATAGAGTTTTATTAAAATTCCGTAATAACTTGTGTATTTTCATCCAGTTACTTTATTTTCAGATTTTTCTTTGTTTTTATTAAATTTGTTATTTTCAAATATTTGCATTGATTCATAATGTTTATTATAATTTGATTTCATCAAGTTAGGTAAGTTTTTTTTGTAGCTGAGCACTAAAAGGTCTTCAGTCTGCACAACTTGGTCACAGCTTTTTTTTTCTTTTTTTTTTTTTGTCAGTGAAAGAATAAACTTTCTTTGACCTCCATATATTTTGTGTTTTATTTAGCGGTACTTTTCCAACTTTGGGGTCCACCACTGGCATATGAACGCATTCTGCCACAAAAAGAAACAAACACAATTTAGGATTCTATTTTGTCAGACGGTCACAGCCAAGGCCAAATTTTTTTACATGTCATTTTAAGGCAGGATGTTTGGGTTATCACAAATGATTTTTTTCTTTTTCAGAGGCGGAGTCGTACAAAAAATGTTGTATCAGAATGGCGCCCTCGTTCCGGAAAATTTCTTACTCGAAAAATAATTTTATGTTTTTGACACTTAATCATAAATAACTATTAAATAGTGTATGTTTTTAAGATAGATGAACTATTTATAGAACCAAATTAGTCAAACTCAAATTATCAAGCTCGTGATTGGTTTTTAATGATGACGATACTGAATTTGTATTTAAATCTTCGAAAAAAAAAATCTTTCCGTGTTTGTTTAGAGTCGCGTATTACACAATGTTAAAACTACTACTTATTTTCGGCGTAATTTTGGCAGATAATGTTTACAGTCAGCGAGTTTCTAGTGCAGATGAGCAGTTTCGACAACCAGGGGAGATAAGCCAAAAAAGTATGCCAAACATCGTAAAATCCGCCACAATTTTTTACTTAACAAGCTTATTTTCAGAATGCAGAGAATATTCTTCATATGTCCAGGAAAAGAATGACTGTGGTCATAAAATAGTAAAACGCATTGTCGGAGGTGAACGTGCTGGAAGAACAGAATTCCCACACATGGTACGAATAGGTTATTCTTCAAAACGCGCGAACACTAGGGTGTGGTTATGTGGAGGATCGCTCATTAGCGAACAATACATTCTAACAACAGCAAGCTGTTTATCCACAGTTAAGTAAGTGAAATGTTTTTCTTATTACGTACTTACAATTAAGAGTTCTACATTGTTTTAGTAAGGACGCAGAAGTTGTGGTTTTAGGAGTGACAAATCTTAATGACACTGACCACAAACAAGAAATTAAAATCGCTGAGAAAATAATTCACCCTAAATTTAAAAGACGTTCATTTTATGACGACATCGGCCTAATAAAACTGGAGAGACCCATAGAAATTGATTCTTACATTCGTCCAGCTTGTCTTTATTCAAACTCCCAAATCAGAGTGGAAAAAGCTATTGCGACTGGATGGGGCAAAACAGATGATAATCTTACACATGTATTAAGCGACGATTTGCATAAAGTCACACTAGACATCATCGATAACGATTTTTGTACTAAATCACTAATGAACAAGAACCTACCAGATGGTATTAGAAATGATACACAAGTTTGTACCGGAGGGGACACAGAGGGCAGGGATACCTGCACGGTAATAAATAAAAAAAACTTGTAGTTGTTGCATTAGTTTAACAAGGATTTATTTTTAGGGTGACGCTGGTGGTCCATTGCAGATATACCATTCAGAGGGAGACATTTTGTGCGTGTATGATGTCATAGGGGTGACGTCTTTTGGAAGAACAACATGTCGTGGTGAAGCATCAGTGTATACACGGGTGTCGTATTACCTTAAGTGGATTGAAGATATCGTTTGGCCCGAAAGCTCTTAATTGATGCTCAAAACTTGTATTTCAAGCAATTGTTTTAATTCAACAATGTTTAGAAATTGTTTTAAGGTTATGGTGATAAATAAAAATGCAATCGCTTTTTAGCTCCAAAAAAAAACTTATTGAACTTTGGATGAAATTTAAATGAAAACAAATTAAACGTTCTGAATCAATAAACACATAAAAATCTGAATTAAAGTAACTGGATGCAAATACACAAGTTATTACTGGCACAAACGGAGATTGGGGCTCCGGTCGTCGCTGTTCTCCTCCACGACGGTGATTTTATCTATCGCAACCCTACCGTACAGCATCTCACTCAGTGTTACGTTATGTCGACCGCCCCTGAATTCTATTCTTAACTGCATCTTTTGTGCAGGTGGCGGTATAAATCTCACCAGCTCGACTAGGAACCGCACACTCCGCTCCTGCCACGTGTTTCGGTGTTGTTTAACCTCAATTCCATTTATGTGTTCAATTTTTATAACTCTGATATTAACGACAGCTGATCAAGTGTTAAAGTTTAAAAAGAGTAATAAACAACACTTAAATTCGCCATACAATCTTGTGAAATTTTAAACAACAAATAATTCTTATTTGAGATTAAGATTGGACATCAGCTAATTTATATGATCGTGCCATTCATCAACAAAATATTTACAAAACAAAAACTAACAAAGATTTATAAAAACCTAAGATCTGGTGTGAAATAAACTTGCAAAGATAAAATATTACGTGAAGTTAGAAACTGTAGAACATGAAAGTTTACGTTCAATTAAAAATCAAACGAACTTACCTTAAGTGATGTTCGATTATAATTATATAAGAGTCTCGTTCGAGATGATTACATCGTAGTACCGCTACTTTGACTAGATCCAACCACAAGCTTTAGAGAATAAATTTAAAATTTCGGCTTCCCGCCGCCTGCTCCTACGCCGCACCCTAGCGGCTAATCGTCATACAGTTTAAAGCTCATTCCAAAATTATGGAATGAAGCTGTAACCAAACTCTCAACTTTAGGGGTGGGAAAAAAATTTTTTAGGATAAAAATTTTGGAAGGGATGTAATCATCTTGAACGAGACTCTTATATAATTATAATCGAACATCACTTAAGGTAAGTTCATTTGATTTTTAATTATATTACGAGTCTCGTTCTTCGAGATTACATCGTAGATGTTTAGAGCAAACCAACTTAGTCTTTATTCCTTAATACCTGTTACAGAGCTTAATGCCATAATAACATTATTCAAGCTAAACTTAATTTAAGATTTACTTAAACTTATTTTAGACTTATTCACCCTGTTGATTGAATAACACCTCTACAAACGATTCTTTTCTTGGTTCTATCAGGCGTTTGTAGAACTTTGCGAACACCTGTGAGCTGGCTGACCATCCAGCTGTACTCTTTACGATGATTACATCTAAACCTCTCGCTTCTGCAGCAGACGTGGCTGCGTGTCTCGTGCTGTGAGCAGTGTATTTGGGATCTATTCCGGCTTCCACGAGACAGCACCTTATCCAGCGGCTTATTGATTGCGCAGTTGCCCTATGGTAGGGCCTCTTAAATGTAATAAACAGGTAGTCTTCATTCCCTCTTAGAACTTTGGTTTTTTATGTATTTCACCAACACCGTGGCGATGCAAGCGCCCCTTCGCTTTTTAAAAAATGGTAGACTGAACGAGGGTTGTGCAACTCCGACTCTAGGACCCGATTTATAGAAAGCGAAGTTAAAGTTAATTCGCGATTAACTTTTAACCGAGGTCCGTTGCGAGGCAACGCGCATATTTTAACCAATCACGGGCTCATATTCCACATTTTAATTCTCTGTTAACCTAATCGAGGATTAAATATTTAACTCGCTGTTCTATAAACTGGCCCTCAATGTTTTAATTTGCTCCGATATCTTTATGATAACATTGCTCTTCGAAATTGTCATGTCACTTATTTTGATTAGGGACAATGTCTGAACCCTATGGGCTGTAGCTAAGGCTAATAAAGATACCAACTTAAAGGTGAGAGATTTTAGGTCCAGGACTTTCAACGGTCCCAGTGCTTCTGCCCAGTTTAGAACTGCCTCTGTGTTCCAGGTGGTGTCATATTTAGGCTTCGGTGGTCTGTTTTTAAAGACTCCTTTAAAAAAACGACTAATTGCAGGATCACTACCCAAGTCTATCGTGCTTATCAGATTAATCGCTGATCTCTCTGAATTAAGTGTGCCGTATGGTGCCTCCTGATTGAATCGAAATGTTAAGTATTTTAAAACTAGGTAAATATCTGGTTGTAGGGGGTCTCTCTTTTCACTCTGGCAGTAACTCCACCAGTTTTTAAGGGCTGTGTTGTATTGTTTCAGAGTAGAATCCGTTAGTGAAGAGATTAGAATCTCTACTGCTTCTGCTGGCACTAGTTTCTGTTGATACGATCGCCGAAGAGCCTCCCTGCAACCAGGGAAAGATGATCCGCTAACGGGTGAATTAGAGACCTGCAAGGAGATAACAGAAGCTTAGGTGAGGGCGAAAAATACAACGATTCTTCTAATAGCATTGATTTAAATAAGGGAAACCAAGGCTGGGTAGGCCAGTGAGGGACCACCACTATTCCCTGAGCCTTATCTGAATTGATTTTTTGTAGCACCTTAGCAACCATCGCGAAGGGAGGGAATGCATAAAAAAGGTATTTACTCCAATTAACTGTAAAAGCGTCAATGTAACGAGCTTCTGGGTCTCGTTTCCAGGAGCAGAACACCTCGGTCTTAGCATTACTCCTTGATACGAACAAGTCTATTTCTGGAAACCCCCACCTTTCTACTATGGTCTGAAAGAAGGGGGCTCCTAACTCCCATTCAGTATCTACATTGACTCTTCTAGATTCCCTGTCTGCGTCTGTGTTTTCCCGCTAGGGAATGTAGGAAGCAAAGATCCAGATTCTTCTTTTCTCACACCAAGTCCAAATATCTTTAGCCCTTTGATTAAGTTCTACGTATTGTACACCCCCCATACGATTGATATACGAAATCGCCGTGGTATTGTCAATTCTAGTGAGATTTCGCAATTTTGGACTTCCCTAGCAAAGCACTTAAGCGCCAAAAACGCTGCTATAATCTCCAGCTGGTTTATATGTAACTTCTTCTCCTCCTGAGACCAAAATCCGTGAGTATTTTCTCCGTTGCAGTGCGCACCCCATCCTGTGAGCGATGCATCCGAGAAAATCTCTAACCTATAATTTAATGACCTAATCGGATTCTTTGCTACTGGAATATTCTTCAGCCACCACTCCAGATCTTTCTTTACATATGAATGAATGATCATCCTTCGATCAAAATTTTGATCGTTTAGGATTAGCGCCTTCATTTTTTCTCTTTCCAACATTTTTGTATACAGCATCCCATACGGTACGCCTGGGCATGCTGCAACCAATCCACCAATTAGACCCGCCATTTCGCGAATAAGACAAGAGTCTCTGCTTAAAATTTCTTGAATTGTTTTAATTAACCTATACTTTTTCTCCTCGGGTAAGGACAGAGTCATGTCCTTAGAGTTTACAATAAAACCCAAATACTTACATTTGTAATCTGGCTCGTCTTTACTTTTCTCTTCATTTATAATGAACCCAAGCTCAGTTTTCTTGCACACGGCCCGAGATTTGCCGATGCAAAGCGTATCATCTATGTACGCTGTCGATAACCATCCCCTTTCTCTAAGAAAGTTCAGGACTGGCTTTAGTAACTTTGTAAATACATACGGACTTGTACAAAGTCCAAAGGGCAAGCATTGAAATTCAAATATTTGACCCCTGAATTTAAATCTTAAAAATTTTCGACTACCCGGACCAATTTTAACCAAGAAATATGCATCTTTCAAGTCTAAACTACATAGAAAATAATTTTTATGAATTAATTTCAAGGCTACTCTCATATCCTCGATCTTAAAATGACTGGTCTTTATAAATTGATTTAAACATTTAAGGTTTAGTATGAATCTCTTAGAGCCATCTGGCTTTGGCACTAGAAAAAACGGTGATAAAAATTGGTCTTCTACAGCTTCGCATCTGATTATTGCCCCCATAGCTACCAGTTTTGTTATTTCGTATTCTAACAGTTTTTCGTCTTCTGCCGAAAAATGCAATTCTTTATAAAAGTATTATTAAAGCTCAGGGACCGTGGTGGTCCTTCAAGAAGGGGAATTTCATACCCCTTCACACAATTCAGGACAAAGGGATCCCTGGTGATTTTTTCCCATTGCGAAAGGAACTGACTGAGTCATCCTGCTACTAATCTCACCTTATTATTTATTTCTTTGCATCCCTCAGTGGCCGCGGCTTGCTGGTTGACTTCGAGACATTGCTGTATGTACTCTTGCTGACCGGCTGAGATGGGGGGAATTTCGTGTGATACTGTTTTGGGCCCTGATACGAGTTCCCCTGTCTCGCATACGGGCCCCGCCAGTTTAAAGTGCGTCTAGGGGCTGGCCTGCTTGGTTTCTTGCTAGTACCAGAGGTCGATGGAAGAGGAGAGGCTTTAATCTCTTTGCCGATCTTCTCCATTGACTTTGCAGTTTTTATCTTTTCCGTTAGCTTCTCTCCAAACAACAGAGTCCCAGGCTTGGTCGTCTGTAACAGATTTTTCATTGACTTGGCCAACATTGGAGAGATAAACGCTATTCTAGCTGAAGAGACCTGGAAATGTAGCTGCGTAATTAGTTTTCCTGCATCCGCTAATTTTTCTAGTAACTCCAGACGATCTAGGGGTTCTTCCTCATCTTTTAAAATCATCGTGATGCCTTGTCCTAATGCTGATAAGGCTGAACCAGCTAAGTTCTGTTATTGGGTAAATAGCTGATCCCTCTTGACACCCGTTTCGTTCAGAGTAGCTGCTATTTCTTCATTTAATTCTGGGGCCTCGAGAGAAATATTCCCCTTTCGAGGATATTTGTCCACTACTTGGACTTTAATCTCTTTCGGCAATCCGTCAGACAGCTAAGATGCCCAACGCGACGCCAAGCTCTCATGCAGCTCTACTTGATCTTTTTTCTTAGCCCCTGGATCATCTCCTAGAAGCAGTTCCACCTCGTTATCTAGCTTTTTAGACTCAGCTGCCTCAGTAGACTGGGCATCATCCTTTACTACTAGGCCCTCTTCCTCAGCCTGCATCTGCGCGATCTCCTCGAGGATCTTGTCTGAGTCCGAGGTACACCTGACTGACTCTTTGAACCCGGGATCCCCAACTAGAGGATTGACGGATTCATTTTCTTTACCAGGGTCAACCTGATTTCCATCTGCAAGGAAAAATAATTACTTAATTTTTCCCCTAATGCCAGATGAAAATTTTATGCACTGGTTGTTATTGCCTCCTACGTGCAAAATTCACCAGCCTAGACGCCCGTCAAGGTCTCATCCTTTATCGAGTGATTTTATAAATGTGTCCGTCAGACACTGCACCACTCTTTCTAACCTCTTAATCCGCTTCTCGCAATTGCTCTCCTCATCTCTTTCTCTGCTGCGTTTTTTCCCCATGATCTTACTGTAATTTTCGTCCGAAAGACAATAAACAAGAAACTGTAGAGCATGAAAGTTTACGTTCAATTTAAATTACACAACCAAGAAAATTACTGAAGTTAAAATTGTGAGATAGAGAAATATCGTATGAGGTGAAAATTTGCAAAGCTAACAAATTTACATGAAATTAATATTTGCCACACTTTACCAAAAATTCAAACAAAGAATTTATTTTACGTTACATTATGCCATGATTCAAGTGATTGGTTACTTAAAATAATTAATTTTGAGAGTTTATCGTGAACTGGTTACCCCAACAAAACACATAATAAATAAACACAAAAATATGCGGTCATGGTTGCGAGGAAAGAACGTCTTGGTAATGTAAATTTTAGCGTTGCGAGACAATGGTCTCGGTGATGTAATTTTTAACGTTGCGAGGAAATGCCGCGGTGATGTAATCAATCTTTAACGTTGTGAGGAAATGCCTCGGTGATGTAATGATGACAATAACGATGATAACTGTCTAATGGAAGAAATTAATTTAACACCCTCCAGTTCACGAAATTATGAATTTTGTTGAATTAATTGCCGTTAATGAACTGAATTAAAAAGTGTTATAATGTAACTTGTAAACAAAAGTTGTTATCCTGACTAAGTGAATTTCATGAAATCTCCTAGTAAGTGTATGTCTAAGCAAATCTAATGTCTGTTAAATTGTGTTACAACCAGTTAACGATTAAAGATCCTAACATGAACTGTGATTTGACAAACAATAAAACAAATCTACAGCACGTATAGCGTCGGTCGAAAATTAGCACTTTTTCCGATTAAAAAAAACACAAGAATTAGCTGTACGTATTGGGGAAAACTGTGACGGCATTGCGTCAAGGCTTCCTCCCTTTTATTAACTACCAAACCAATTATTTTTTTTTAACAAACACAATTTAGGGTTCCAGTTTGCTAGACGCTCGCACCCAAGGGCAAATTTTTTAATTTTTTGTTTATTTTCGGGGGCTTTCAATTTTTTTTTCACATGTCATTTTAAGCCGGGATGTTTAGGTTATCACAAATGATTTTTTCTTTTTCAGGTACGGACTCGTAGAAAATATGTTGCATGGCGTACGTGTTAAAAATGCATTATTTTTGACACTTAGGTATATCATAAATAAACCATTAAATAGTGTATGTTTTTAAGATATATGAATTATTTATAGAACCAAATTAGTCAAACTCGAAATTATCAAGCTCCTAATTGGTCTTTAATGATGACGATACTGAATTTGTATTTAAATCTTCGAAAAAAAAAATCTTTCCGTATTTGTTTAGAGTCGTGTGTTACACAATGTTAAAACTGCTACTTATTGTCGGCGTAATTTTGGCAGATAATGTGTACAGTCAACGAGTAACTGGTGAGTTATTCCACTTAAAACCACATCTACTCTAATTTTTACTCGTTTCTACTGTAGATGACCAGTTTCGACAACCAGGGGACATAAGCCAAAAAAGTATACCAAAAGTAGCAAAATACGATACAATTTACTTAACAACACTTTTCAGAATGCAGAGAATATTCTTCATATGTTCAGGAAAATAATGACTGTGGTCATAAGATAGTAAAACGCATTGCCGGAGGAGAACGTGCTGCAAGAATAGAATTCCCACACATGGTAAGAATAGGTTATGCTTCAAAAATCGTAAACACAAGGTGGTTATGTGGGGGATCGCTCATTAGCGAACAGTATGTTTTGACAGCAGCACACTGTTTATCCGTCCTGAAGTAAGTAAAAAGCATTTTTTATTATAGTTTATTATATTAAAACAATTGTACATTGTTTTAGTAACGATGCAGAAGTTGTGGCTTTAGGAGTGACAAATCTTAACGACACTAACCACAAGCAAGAAATTAAAATCGCTGAGAAAATAATTCACCCTGAATACCAAAAGCGTTTTCAATATCACGACATCGCGCTTATAAAATTGGAGAGGCCTGTAGAATTAGATTCTCACATTCGCCCCGCTTGTCTGTATTCAAACTCCCAGATCAAGGTGGAAAAAGCTATTGCGACAGGATGGGGCAAAACAGACATTTTTGCAGATGGATTAAGCGACGGTTTGCTCAAAGTCACACTAGACATTATCGATAACAATTTATGTAATAAATCATTTCGGCGCCTAAAAATACCAAATGGTATTAGAAATGATACACAAATTTGTACGGGAAGGGACACAAGGGGCAGGGATATCTGTGTGGTAATAAAAAAAAATTGTAGTTGTTGCATTAGTTTAACAATCGTTTATTTTTAGGGTGATACTGGTGGTCCATTGCAGATATATCATTCAGAGGACGATATTTTGTGCATGTATGATGTCATAGGGGTGGCGTCGTTTTTAAACGGATGTTTTGGTGAGGCATCAGTGTATACACGAGTGTCGTATTACCTTAAGTGGATTGAGGATATCGTTTGGCCGGAGAGCTCTTAATTGATGTTTAAAATTTGTATTTCAAGCAATTCTTTTAATTCAACAATATTTAGAATAAATAAAAATGGATTTCTGGGGTAGGCTGTTCAATCAATGTAATTCTATTTACTTAACTACAAATAAAAATTTTAATGCATTACGTTAACAAGTGTTATAGATATATTTTCCTCAATTTTTTTTAGTTGGTGAAGGTTTTAGTTGGTGATACCAGTAACAGTAAAATCCTCACTTCTCTACGAGAAATTAAATACATGTTTTTGAGTGTCGTATTGGTCAAAGAATACTAAGTATATTAAGAAAAATAAAGCCAAAGATTAAGCCCACCCCGATCTCAATTCTGAATTGTGACCAATTTTTCATTCGTTGCCAAATCGAGGGGCGAGGCTAAGGTAATTACAAGATCCATATTTGACTAGAAGAATTAACCATTTTAAACATGTTTTAAGTTTCTTGCTCTGAAACTTCGACTACGTGTATTAAGAAAAAGGCAAAATACAAGCACCGCCCATCCGGCCTATCTCAATGGTGACGATTTTTTTTTAATCGTCGAAAGACAAGAGGCGGAATTTAACTGCAAAATCCTAATTTCTCTACACGAAATTACCATGTAAGACACGTTTTTGAGTATCGTGTAACGCTACGCCATGCTGCTTCCGTCTCTACCAACTAATCAACCCTCTAACTAAAAACTTCCTAGCGATACCAAGCCGCCATCTAACTCAATCATCATGCAAAACTACCCCTAAGCGCTATTAATTATCCGACTACCAAGCAAGCGTTTCCGTGCACCAGGTTGCCTATGTTTAACGTTTTTTTTTTCTTGTGATTGACTTTTTTTTTCGAATTCAATTTATTGAAGTGTGATTTCGTGCCGCTGTTAATTAATTTCAGAGCGAAAACTTTGATTCAAATTCCGTCACCACAGTATATTAAGAAAAAATTAAAGCCAAAGATTAAGCCCCACCCATACCTGCCCTGATCTAAATACAAATAAAGTTTTCATTCGTTGGCAGACTTAGGGGGGGAGCCTAATTGCAAAATCCATATTTCTTTACAAAAATTTACCATTTTAAACGTGTTTCAACTTTCTAAGAATAAGAAAATCATCACAATTGAATTGGGCTGGGTGGGTGGGGTTAATATTTTGCCTTTTATTCTTAATGTAGGTACATAGTGTTCTGTGAAGAACACGATATTCAAAAATATGTTTTCAATTTCTTGTAAACAAATAAGTATTTTGCAGTTAAGCTCCGCCCCCAAGGTTCACGGCGAATAAAAAAAATTCATCACAATTGAGATAGGGCGGGTGGGCGGGGTTACATTTTGCCTTATTGTTTTAATATGTGTAGACTTCTTTTCACAACATGAAATAAAAACAAAGGCCAACAGCCATGTTTAAAATGCATGCATAATTGCAAAATCCATATTTCCCTGCAAAAATGTGCCATTTCAACGATGTTTTTAGTTTCTTGTTGTGAAAAAATGGCTATATATATTAAGAAAAAAAAAGGCGAAATATAAGCCCCGCCCAGCCGCCCTATCTCAATTCTGATGATTTTTTTATTCGTCGTAAGCCGAGGGGCGGAGTTTAATTGTAAAATCCTTATCTTTCTACGAAAAATTACCATGTGAATTATGTATGTTTCTAAATAATTGTGTTATACAAAGAGAAGTAAATGTATTAATTAAAAAAGAAAACCAAAAGAGAAGCCCCACCCATTCATCTCGATCTCAATCGTAATGAATTTTTCATTCGTTGTCGGACCGAAGGGCGGAGATTAATAGCAAAATCGATACTTTCCTACAAAAATTTATCTTTTCAAATATGTTTTACCTTACATGTTATGAAAAGAAGACTACACATATTAAGAACGAAGGTCAAAATGTAAGTCTCGCCTAATTACAGGATAATGAACTCTAAGACGGATTTTTTTCAACATGACGGTGCCACGGCACATACAACAGTAGACAATTTGAATTTTTACGTGAATTCTTTGATCATAGAGTGATAAGTTGACATTCAGTTCCTGAATAGCCCCCAAGGTTACCAGATTTAACCCCTCCGGATTACTGCTGGTTCGGTCATCTAAAATCGCACAACATACTATGATCTAAATAATTAATGAACATACGGAGAAGGTATAAAGGTATCTGTGGACCCACACACTCCAAATAAATTTATCAAGGAACCTATTTTGAACAGTGCTCATTTAATAAATACTGATTGCTGTAAAAACATCCTCCAAATTTAAAAAAACTTAAAACCTATGATGGAATGCGTTTCAACCTATTTACAAATTTGACTACGTGTTTTCTTCACTTGAGTGAACAATAATACCCTTCGATGGAAAAGAAAATAGTTATTCCAATTCACTTTTTTTTTTGTTTGCACTATATTATACTTAGATACTACAGGTATTCAGCGTTAATTAACACACTAATAAAACTCCAAACCAATCAATTATCCAAATTTGCCATTTTCTTTTTACATATCGATCTTGTAGTTCTGAAGCACCGCTAGCAACGAGTAAGCTCTTCTCAAAATCTAAAAGCTCTTATTTAACAAAATTTGAAGCTCTAAGTCGCCTAATACGACATAAATTTCGTAAAAAGTTTGGTCACAAATAATTCTAAAAAATAAAAAATACGTACGGTAGTAAAAGTCACAAGCGACGATTCTAAAATTATCCCTGCAGTAATCATTATCGGTTTCTTCGAACGTTCCATTAAAATAATGAGTGATTTTTTACATTTTAAATCGTATTCGTACCACGTGCCCATGTAAATGGCAGTCGTCAAACTGTTGCTCTAAAAATTGTAATCCAAATGACAAAAATTTTAGAAAAATATAACCGCACCTCATCATATAAGCTAGAACCGAAATAACAGTGAAGAAATATTTCCAAAAGCATGGTAAGAAGGAATATAATCATAACGTGAAATTTAAAAGATGTGGGTTCAAGCTGAAATTGTTTAAGTAACAAAATAATTTTAAATGATTCAGAAATACGTACCAAACTTAGCTCCAAACAGCAAAGACAGACAACAACTACTGCTGCCATTAACTGAGTGAAGAGCACAGGTGAATATACTTTTTCATAGTGTTTAATAAATCTAAAAAATTGTATGTGATAAAGTTAAAAATGTTGCAGTTATTTTTACTTTATAATTGCAGCGTGATGCGTAATACATTCTCCGATTTTGTTGTAAATAATATCATTTCTTAATTTTTCCTTCAACTGCTTATTTTCTTCGTCATAGCTAGCACGAACTATTTCCTCTGCATCGGCCCCCAAATTTTGTAAATTATCTTTTAGCACTCTAAGCTGAGTGGCAGCAAAACATGCCATCCCAGCAACTAGAGGATCTATCACACCGTTAGATGTACCTCCATTAAAAACACCTACAAATTAAATTTAAACTAAAATACAACAAAATAAAAAAAAATTACCCGACGCAATGAAAATATACGTGAAAACGTAAATCTTTTTGTTTGAAGTTGCGTCAAAAGGTAGCCAAATTTCGATAGGAAATGTGTGCCCGCTTCCAAATAGTGGCGTTACGGCCCAGCTCGTTGCAGCCGTCACACAGAACCCCAAAAACAACCAAGTGATTCTCTTGCAAGTTTTCACACCTTTCTCGATTATGACTTCTTGTTTCCGAGAGTAGTTGTTGAATACCGGCCATTCTAGCATGTAGATGGATTTTCTGATTACCTCTGAGTGAAAAATGAATGGTACTAATTTAGCGATGAAGCATCCAACTTGAAACATCATGAATGAGCCATCGCCCACTTGGGCTAGATCTACGTTGTCGCTAACTAATAAATGCACTGCTGCTAGTGTTGGAACTGGAATGGTAAAAGTAACGTATACCGCATATGCGTATAATTGGTAGATTTTTTTGAATTTTTGAGGCGGGTAAAAGCCCAACAGTCGCATTACGATTAAATTCAGTTTAAAGATTCTTTGCACTGGACCCTCCATCTTGGGCGGTGCGCTACTGTGGTATCACTGGCTCGTTGAAAGCTTTTAAATTCGAAAGATATAATTACTGGTTATCTACATAATAAGTAGGGGTAGTATTTGTAACGTTTCATTAAATTCAAGTATTCTACCAACTTTTATTTATTAAAAATTGATGTGGCGTTAAGACAAAAATACAATACGACTTATTATAATTAACATTAATTAGGAAAATGTTCTTCGGTCTAACTTAAATTTCGAGGATAAATGAATAAAATATTTATAAAAAAAAAAATAAATGGGATTGGGGCTGATAGTCGATCAGATACGATATAATACATTTTTAATATATTTCTTAGGTATTTGAAAAAGTATCAAATCGTGTATTCAAATTATAGACAAACAGTGGTCTTAAACTTATTTTTTTAAAGCTGCGCTGATGACGCATACATTTTCTCACGATGATTAAATTGTGGAATCAAGGGCGGCTTTAGAACACGTTGTATATTACCAATTCTATTTCTACAATTTATATATGTTGTGAAATAACGAACACCGACCTTGTGATAGATTTTTCTCAAGCGAGCTTTTTTGAACTACTGATAACAAAATCTTGAACTGTATAATTGATGAACTCCAAGTAAATGCAACAAGTTATTTAAACAATATTTACTATTTGAAAACTGGAAATATACCTGTGTGACTTTTAAAGTCAAGTGGTAGAAAAAGAAACAAAAAGGTAAGAATATACTAGCCTTTATATTATACAAGCGTTATAATATTCCTGTTTGCAGTGTTGGGGACAGATACTTTTAAAAGTATCTAAATACAGATATAGATATATGGAAGACAAAAGTATCTAGATACAGATTGTTTTCGATTTTTTCAAAATGTATCTAGATACAGATACAAGAAAACAGATACTTTTTGAAGCTTTGGCGAATAAAATAACTGAAAACATGTTTATGTATTTTTTATGTATTGTTTAATGATTTTTTTTAAATTAACAACATTTCGAACGTATTGTCACCTAAATTATTTCTTCTTGGTGTCAGAATTTGGTTTCCGCTACTAAACACCCGTTCCACAGGTGCAGAAGAAGGGATTGTGGTATTAAATTTAAAAAATAAACATTTTACTGTAGTACAGTTATTCAAGACTGAATTTTTTTTTCTTTTTCCCTGCAAATAGGCCATCGCGTCGCTGTTTGATGTGTCGCAAATTATGCAATATTTATTACGTACGCTTAAAAAGAATGTTTTTTTGTTTTTATTCCCATACTACAGTGTCCAAATTGTGTTTGAGTATATCTAATAATTATCTCCAGCATTAAAATTAATATTTCAAAAGAATACGGGAAATGATTATTCTGTGCTGAAGATCTGGTGTCGGCAACCTGTCATAAATTATTATTCTTCAATGTCGGCTTATGATGTTTTTATGACCATGTCCGGTAATCGTCTATCCCGGTGCGGCAGGTATATACATTTTAGGAAGAATTGCTGGCTCCGTTTAAGGCAAAATAAGTACAATTTCTTAGAAAGGTATTTAAACCCCTTATAGGATCAAAGGCTGCCTGGCAGACCGGAATCACCAGAGTGCAACTTTAAATTTTCAGATTTTTGTTGAAACTCATTTTATTATAATCTCGTTTCACGATTTCTGAGAATATATCACGATAAATTATTTTACCGAGGGTTGTAAAAATATTAATTTTATTACCCAAGATTTACACTTAAACATAGTCGGCACATTCTAGGGCAAAACGGACCTGCCAAGCCCTCGCGTTAGGTCCAACAATGAAAAAGTGAAGAAATGACACATGTGGCAACAGGAAAAGATGCTACGTTTGTCTGAAAAATAAATGTATAAAACAGTAACAAATATGCCATTTATGCGAGAGACATGTATGTATTGAACATTCGATTAGTCGATTACAGAACTAATTTGTGCTAATTGAAAAAATTAATCATTATGTAACACGCAATTATTATTTTCTAAAAATAATAGCATACCTTAAACAAATATTTTTACTATTAAAATTACTCTTATGTAATAACACAAATACAACCAGCGAGCCTACCGGACCCGGGTTGCTCAGGTACACAGATAAAATGCATTGCCCCTATAAGCGTAAAACGCAGTGAATGGGAAATTGTGGTTTATTGTTTTTAAAATACCATCTTACCATGGCTTAGATTTATTACCCCTCAGGATTGTATATACAGATGTATAAGTACTGAAGGCTACAATGTAGGAAATGATGGTATTTAAAATATGAAAATTTCCGTGACAGAACACTATTAGTGGACCTCTTACCTCTATTTTTGTCACCAAAATCACCAACATGAAGTATCAAAAATTACTACTAGTATAACTCAACTAATAACTACTGAAAAAAAAGTGAAATAAAAAAAAGGATCTGTATCTGTGCCATTAATTTTGTATCTAGATACAGATATTTTGCGCTTAAAGTCGATTTTATCTAGATACAGATACTACATACCCAAAAATGTATCTAGATACTTTTACTTAGATACAAGTATCTAGATACTGCCCAACACTGACTTATCATCCTCACTATCACTCTCACTATCACCCAAATTATTAACATTAATGATAATTTCATTCTGTTCTGAAATATCTAAAAACTTTCATTTTCTCACGCACAATTTATTATTTTATCAGTATGTTTAAAGTAATTGTTCCCATGCAAAGCCGGAACTTGATCAATAGTCCAGTCAAATTAGCGATCAACCTCGGAATGAGAGATAATAAGCTGAATTTTTGTATATACCTTCATCTTAGCGTTCTAAAAGTTGTCTCAAAAGTCTCATAAAATCTCGTGTCTGCGTCGGAAGTTATTCAAGGTCAAAGGTCAAGAAAAACAGTTTTTTGCGATTATCTCGGTTTCTATTGCTCCAATGAGGTTAACATTTATTACCGTAATTGTAGAGCACAAAATTTGGGACAAATTTTATTTGAAACATTTTCTCATGCACTCAATCGTTTTTGAGATAGAGGGCAGTGAGCGCGCAGCGCTCATCCATAAGTACTGTAATGAATATCTGCGAATACTACCTTGAATTTTGAATAGTTTGTATTATTTATCAGTTAATACATTGCATTTAATAACATTTTACATACTTTCAATACATTCATTTAATGATACTTACCTACTTTGTGGAATTAAAAACTCTTTAAATGAAATACTTATTGTAGGTATTTCTTAATTTATTGAAAGTAGATTTTAAGTAGAAAAATAATTAAGTACTTTATCTTTCAAATGTGAAAGTTTTTAGATATTAGATAATATATTATACTTGTTATATTATTATATATCTTAAAGTTATATTAATTTCTTCAAAGTAAATTTTAAGGAAGTAAAACGAGTTAATATATTTTAATTTTATCTTTGTTCAGCAGTTGTACATTTCTTACGATTGAAATTGAATTGCAGTGAAAATCTATAAATCTTTAATAATTCAAAAAACAAAATTGTTAATTTTCTTCTTATTCATCGTCATCATCTTTGGTGCCCGAAATCGTTGTTTCCAGACCTTCCAGTTATAATCATGATAAAAAACTAAGTATTTAAAACCTTACACATTTTAACGATATAAATAAATTGAGAAATACAATAAGTATTTCATTAAGTTTTTAATTACACAATGTAGGGAAGTGTTATTCAATGAATATATTGAAAATAAGTAAAATGTTTAAATACAATGTATCAATTGATAAATAATACGAATTATTCAAAATTCAAGGTAGTATTCACAAATATTCACGGTTGATTGCATTACAGTACGTATGGATGAGCGCGCTCACTGCCCTCTATCTCAAAACCGATTGAGCGCATGAAAAAATATTTCAAATAAAATTTGTCCCAAATTTTGTGTTCTACAATTATGATAATAAATGTTAACATCATTGGAGCAATAGAAACCGAGATAATCGCAAAAAACTGTTTTTTTTTGACCTTTGACCTTGAATAACTGACGACGCAGACGCGAGATTTTATGAGACTTTTGAGACAACCTTTAAAACGCCAAAATTAAGGTATATACAAAAATTCAGCTTATTATCTCTCATTCCGAGGTTGAACCCTTATTTATCCTAAAATGACTGGACTACAATTATATTTTGCCAAGTTGCGCAAATATTATTAAAGGAAGAGCTGGTTTTTGGAATTATCTTATCATAATTCCTTTTAACTTCCGACCATGCCATTTCAATTGCGTTGAAATAACAGTGGTAAGGTGGCAGGCTCAATACCCAATGCCCACGATGTTGGGCATTTAAATCTAAATGACAACGTTTTTGGAGTTATTTGTTAGCCAATATTCCTCAGATTTGGTTTTTCATGGCGTTGGATGGACAATAAATTCCATTTTTATTTAAATATGCTACCATTTTTGTCTTTGCCCAACTTTTTCGAGGATTTTCTTCCTACAAATTAAGTAAAGTTTTATTACAATATATGAATACCTATGAAGACTAAATTGACACCTCAAATCTGCTATGGTAACTTGCGCTATCCATCATAATAAATAAGAAAAGGTTCCCGCAAACTTGGTATCAACTGTTCCTTGAACCATTTTTCAAAATTTTTCTGGTTCATGTCATCATGAAAATCTCCAGCTTTGCTATTAGCTTTAAAAATTAAAGAGGCTCCTTCAATAAAACCGTTTTTATTTCCAGCGTGAACCATAATGTATCCACCCTTATTAAATACCCACGTTTGGGCAAGAAAAAGAGGTTCATATTATTTTTTCCTTTGTGTTGGTGATATTCACCTAACAATTTTTGTTCATTTTACTCGTAATTTAATTGAAGGCTGTTTCATCAAAAATAATCTGTTACTATTTTTCTTAAATTTGAAACCAATTTTCCTTATCCAGTTGGTTAACGATCTAGGACCAACTGCCGCAACTTAATAGTAATGTATTCTTTAGAAACACCCATTTTATAGA